TGCGATGTACTCACTGTATTAATATTGCTACCACACTTTCAAAACCAACCGTGAATTAAATCCCATCATGCCTCTAAGTGAATAAAAGGGGTCTAACACCATTTTTCGTTATACTAGATTCCCCCCCGAGTAGTATGCTCTTTGAATGGGACGTTCCCTTGTATCTACAGGCTGCTCGACGTCCGGACGTACATTCAAGCCACCCGGCAATCACCGGTCATTTCCAAGCCACGGCACTAGTGTTGCTCGTTAAGTGAAGCCAAGCTGAAGGGACACGTCACTTCACTTCAAGAAGCACCCACTTCAGTGGCTTCAGCGTGGCATGAAGTCACACTGAAGGCTTCAAGATGACTTCAGTCCCACCACTCCACTGACGAAAGGAGTAAACCTACACGAAGTGGGTAAGCCCGCTCGCGTGGTTGACTTCGTGCCCGTGTCGGCCTTGAGACCGGCAGTTGCCGGACTGGAGAGGACGGCCGTCGTCGACGCGGTTTACCACCCTACTGCAGCCAAAATGTGCATCTTTGGTGTCAGACAGAGTCTGTAAGGTTTGTAATTTGTGATAGAAAAGAAACGAGAGACAAAAGCTCAACGTCTGCTGAGTGATTCACCCATTATCTCTCTCAGTTGGCCAAATGAGGGCTGCTGTCTCACGCTTCATTGAAGTCTTCAGCGTGACTTCAGCTTCACTTCAGACGGACTGAAGTTTGACAGGCCCCACTTCACGTCACTTCAGCTTCACTTAACGAGCAACACTACACTGCACGCAGCCACCGGACTCATACAGCCGTTTGCAGATTAATGGACCCACTTCTCAAAAATTATTTACAGTCGGACCACGTCGGACAAGCAATTGTAAGTCCCCGAGAGACGGAAATCAGACCATTTGGACTTCCCCACCTTCTTCCGACGTCCCTGGCACCCACTCCGACCCACTCCGACTATACGCGATTTTCTGAATTGGTGGCCATGGTCTATCGATCTGCAAACGGCTGTAACAATCCTCCCAGTAAACCGATACGTACATCCTTGGAACTTGAAGCTTGAACCTCGATTAGCGCATGACTAACCGCGAACTCCTACTCCGTTTGCCTGCTGTACGTCGAGATTATTCTACCCAAAGTCGTCGAAAGGTTGAAGGGTGACCGCACGCCTTCTGCCAACATAATCTCCCCTGACGTCAGCTATCCCGCGTTCTGCGAAAGGCTGTCCACCCGCGGCTACATAAAGTCCGGCCTTGCACCTCAATTCATGTCTAGTTCTGCTGCGTACGAACCCTTACCGACCGAGGACGCGAATAACTATCCTCCATCTCATCCTGGATCCGCACCTAAAGCCAGTGTCCCTTCGGGCGGCGTCGTCACCCGTAAACTGTTTCTGTTTATAGCTCTTCTGTGCATCGTCGCGCTAGGCTCGTATAAGGCGGGTCAGTGGTCTGTGCTCAAGGCGACGTCGGAAACAGACAAAGCAGAGAAAGGGAAAGAACAGGACAACGCGGAGAAACCGATCCCTCAGGTGCCTGTGAACGACACTGGGCCGGATATGTCGCATCCCATGAAGAGCGTTGGGTAGTAAGTCACAAACGCGCTCATGTGTCACGAACATTTGAATCACTATTGATTAGTTTCACCAACTGGTATGTCGCACGTCCTCGGTTTGTCAGTGGGCGTTGATCGTTTGTGCAGGGGTATCTATGGGCGCAAGTTCCCTCCGTCCGCTATCCCAGTACAGGACATCACGTAAGTTTGCCCTGCTGATTGCTGGAGCTCCTGACCTACGGGCGTCAGGCACATCCTGTACGCTTTCGCCGACATCAAGTCAGACGGCGCCGTAGCATTGTCCGATCCGTGGGCGGACGAGCAGATCCATTACCCCGGGGATTCATGGAATGACCAGGGGAACAACCTTTACGGGAACTTTAAGGCAATCTACAACCTGAAGAAAGCTCACCGGCACTTGAAACTTATCTTGTCCATTGGCGGATGGACATACTCGCCCAAGATACACCCCGTGGTGGTGTCGCCGGAGCTGAGACGCAGGTTTGTGGAGACATCGGTGAGGTTGGTGGAAGATTATGGCCTGGATGGTTTGGATGTGGATTATGAATATCCTGGTAATGCGGAGCAAGCCAGAGGGTACGTAGAGTTGCTTAAGGAATTGAGGCATGGATTGGACGAGCATCAGCGGAAGAAAGGAATAAGCTACCGGTTCCTATTAACCGTGCGTGAGGTTCTGCAAGGTAAAGGCGAGGAAGTTGACCAAGAACTTTAGATTGCATCACCTTGTGGCCCCGATAACTACAAGAAGCTCCTTATGAATGAAATGGATCGATACCTAGACTTCTGGAATCTCATGGCTTATGATTACTGTGAGTCACGTCTCGACCACTACTACACAAGTGGTTCTCATGGCTACTCCAGCTGGCTCATGGGACCAGATTGCAAACCATCAAGCCAACGTCTTTGGCGGCCCGATCAGCACATCGGAGGCTGTTAAATACTACGTCTCACAAGGTGTCCCTCGCCACAAGCTTGTCATTGGTTTACCTCTCTACGGGCGTTCATTCATGAATACCAATGGTCCCGGCCACCCGTTCTCCGGAATTGGCCCAGGGACTTGGGAGCAAGGCGTATACGATTATCGCGCTTTACCGCTGCCAGGGGCTCATATGTTCCGAGACGAGAGGGCACTCGCAAGCTGGTCCTACGATTATAGCAAGAAGGAGATGGTGAGCTTCGACTCGGAGGAGGTGGGGAAATGGAAGGCCGAGTGGATACGGCGGGAAGGCCTGGGTGGGGCGATGTATTGGGAGCTCAGTGGTGATAAGGGAGGGATGAGGGTGGGGATGGAGGGTGGACCTGGGAAGGATCCCCAGCCAGGAGGGAGCTTGGTGACGGCGGTGAACCGGGTATTTGGAAAGCTGGACGGGAGTGAGAATTGGTTGGAGTATGAGGGTAGCAAGTTCGACAACCTGCGCAATGGTATGGCTTGAGTCTTGGCTTGGATATAATTGGGCGTTTTTGGATATTGTAACCATCCTCCCCCTTGCCACAAGCACTAATGGGGTAGTGGTAACCTCAGTCGTTGCCACTCGCAGGCTTCAGATTCGACTGGCCGCGAGTTCGATTCTCGCTTAGTGCATACTTCTTAACACTCTACCATTCCTTATCTTTGTGGGAGTATTTTTTGCCTCGGACAATTGAGATGAAATGTCCAGCTGCTGTGCGGTGCAAGGTGTTCCAGCCTCGCATGCATGTGCCTCAGGCTGCAGGAAACACCGCAATTAAAACACGTTGTTCTCATGCCGTTCTGGGGAGTTGTCTGGATGCGAGTTGCGTGCGGGTGGCTCCTGCCAGCATGATTGCTTCGCGCAGCGGGCAGGCCGTGACCGCAACGTCCTTAATTATACTTTGTGCATAGCAGCCGCCATAACACCCTTGCGCGGTCGCAGGGCCTGTCCTTGTCTGCCGTCCTTGGCTAGCGATGCATTCTACAAGTGCCCATCCCAGGCCCATTGGCCCCCGAAGCTTGCCGCGCTCGACGTCTCCGGCGCCGCCGCAACTCCCCTTCTTACCGCTGCCAGAGACCGCGCCGCTGAACATTCGGAAACCTAGAGAGAACTCGAACAACAACCTCTCATTGTCGCCTCCCAACAGCCTAGCACCGCCCAGATCCCGTTCACCAGCTTCTCGTTCACCAGCACCTGCCCTCAGCCTCCAGATTCCGGGAAGGCCATCGCAACGGCCTACCACCCCCAAGGGACGTCTTCAGCTCAAAATCCCAACTGCAGATGCCCGTGGCTCATCGGACACGTCTGATTCGCCGACATCTCACAATCCCTTCGGAGGAGGGTATTATGGTGGCCCGGCGCAGGAGGGGTTTGACAATGGGAATGGAGACGAGGGGAACGATAGGACCATCCGGCCTGATACGAATGGCCAGAGGCGCGTCGCCCTGGACACGATGGAGGATCTGCGGCGGACGATAGACGATATCGCCGTCACGACTACGTCTGGCTCGTCTGATACGGAGGCGTCGTCTCGCAAGAGCTCGGAGGAACTGCGTTCTGCGACCACTATCTCTCAGTCTGTTTCGCCCCCTTCCACACAGAGCGATGCCCAACGGCAGATGCCCTTACCGCAGGCCTATTCAGACGACGTCCTGCTCGAGCTCGCCAGGCTTGGGGAGGGCGCGGGCGGCTCAGTGCACAAAGTACAGGACAAGCGGAACGGGTTTATTATGGCTCGCAAGACGATCACGACCCGCGAGGCGCCGATGAAGCAGCTCCTGCGAGAGCTCGCGATGGTTACGAAGACGCGACACGTGAATATTGTCAAATTCTATGGCGCATACATCAGTCCTAGCGACAGTGAGGTCAAGGTGCTGATGGAGTACTGTGAGGGAGGCAGTCTGGAGGCGGTAGGAAAGAGGATTAAGGACAGAGGCGGGCGGGTTGGTGAGAAGGTTGCGGGACGACTGGCGGAGGGGGTGTGTATTAGCGCGATATTATGAGATGGATGATTCTGACACAATCTCAGGTCTTACAAGGTCTTGCTTACCTGCACCAGCAGAAGACGATCCATCGAGACATCAAGCCGTCCAACATACTCTTGTCGAAGCAAGGCGTTGTCAAGCTGTGCGATTTCGGAGTGTCAGGAGAGCTGGTAAACTCGATGGCAGGTACATTTACCGGCACAAGCTTCTACATGGCGGTAAGTATTCATCATGCGTCACCAAGGGCCTACCCACTAAGCGATGCTGTAATTCTGCAGCCCGAGCGTATATGCGGGAACGAATACACGATTCGATCCGACGTCTGGTCAACAGGCATATCACTGCTCGAGCTCGTCCAGAACCGTTTCCCTTTCCCAAACGACCTCCCACCGATCGAACTCATGATGTACATTACCCAGTCAGACGTAAGTATTGCATTCCCGAGTTCCTTCCCCTAGATCCAATTCCTGCATTCCTTGGACCGCCTTGGGATCGTGTCATATATTGATCCGATGCTGATGCTGATTTCGACCCCAACAGCCTCCTCGACTAGAAGACGACGCGGAGGCGACATGGAGCGCTGAGATGAAGGACTTCATCCGGCTGACGTGCGTTCAATTACTTTGTTTCCCCGGCTGCGGATATATGGCTTACGCATCGCCAGGTTAACGGTATCGGCAAGCGAACGTCCGACGCCCGAGGACATGCTGCAGCATCCGTGGCTGCTGCGCGTGATGCAACAGGAAGTGAACATGGCACGGTGGATCCGCGAGGTATGGGGCTGGCCGAGGCCTAGCAAGCGGGGCCAGGACGGCAGGTGAGTGTCTCTGCTGGGTCTTCATATCTTATTATTATTATTCCTCTTCCCTCCCTACTTCTATGATTGACTTTGGTTTCTTCGTCGCTTTTCATCATGCTGCATCTTCAATCTTCAACGTTATCTTTGTTCTACTTCAAAAGCAAGCGCATATACCGCTTTGTCGGGCCTAGCAGCTGGAGTTGGTCCTTGCTTTCCAAATGGCTCTAGGTGGCTCTTCCAATTGCATTTCCGAGCCAGTCAATCCGTGAATGGGGATATCATCCCGCTCTGTCTCTCGGATGGGCTTTAATCCGTCGGTCTTGACCGGGTCCAATGTCTGTGTCTTCTGTCTGCTTAGTTTCATCCTAACGTTGGTCACAAAGAATTTTTCTTACTGTGTTACTTGTATCACCTTGGATTGTGTACCTCTCGTTTCGTCATGTACCTTGACTATTCGGTTCCATTCTCTCCTGTATCTTCTTCCCCATAATTGGTGCTGGGATGGTATATAGGCCAACACTAACTGACTTTCCATCTTAGCGTGTCGCGACCGAGCTCCAGTCGGAGAGATCCAGGTTTATTGGACACATCGCCTGCCACCGAGTCTCCTCCCAGGACGGACAGTTAATTTCTCCGTGGCCCTGAGATGGTACTTTGCCGCGGATCTGCGTTTCGTCGCGTCTCTATCCAACTCGGTGTCGGGATGTCATTCACCTATGTAGGACCGCGCGTCTTGGCTCTGTCGTTTTCTTGGTCATATAGAGTACTGTGTGCTTGTATGGACTACTTCTACAGAGAATTACGCCTCGTGTACGTTAAACAGGGGGATCTAATAATTATAGTTCCGACTCCTCACACTATGCCCGCCGTCAGAAACCCGTCTGGACCAAGGAGGACATGTGGCGACCACGGATATCAATAAGTCCCTGGTCAGGGTTCTGCAGAGTGCAGTTCAGTCGTAATCTTCTTATGCAACTCTGCCTGTGAATACAGTAGCCTCGCATCATCGACATTCTCTTCGGGTACTGGAGTTGGCTTGAGCACAGAGCATGCGTGACCCGGATGCTCCCGTCAGATGTCAGATGGGCATCATGCGCCACGAGAGTCCCGATATATATAGGGCCCGATCCCAAGATTATCTTGAGAAGTTCTCGGGAGGTGTATGCTGTGAGGATCTGCATCGCGAAGGGTGAGCGTGTACATGATAAGATCGACGGGTATGGCGGTGGGATGGCGACGCAAGACTCTGATCTGAGTGGCGTTCCTCAAAAAAGCAAAGCGACAAGTGCTCAAGCGAAAGGTTGTTGCAATGTTCGGGAGCTTCGCTGCATCTGAGGTCAATCTACATAAACAGGAAGCCCGCTATCAACGCATTGTTACCAGATACTTCGCGAATCAGGATTCCCGTCTGTTCCCCAATACATCCACACATATTGCTGGGGAAATGGGCCTCTACTCACAGTCAGTACGTGACGGAGACTACGCACGAGGATAATTGGCTACTAGTAGTCAGAGAGGCATTGTCCCAGTCGTTCTGAGCCAGAACGTGGGTAAAGCCTTCCGGGGAGGCCTACACTGCAGCAGATATCAGAGAGAATGAAACCAACGCAGGCTAAGATAACCCAAGCATACCGAGGAAACCATACTTCCGCTCCGGACTCGAAGGGGGCATACTATGTGTGCGCCCAGATGGAAGTTGACGATGGCAACCATCTTTGCTGATGGATACCCGGGCAGGTATATACATCTACCTTGTGTAAGATCACCCACGGTATTATTTTTGGAGGTTGGGAAAACAGACCAGTAATGGAGCCTGCTTTGATGCCCAAGAGCATGTCGAGTTTGCACGGCCTTAACATCCCTCACCAGAGCATCAACTGAAAGGTCACGTTTGGACAACATCCGTAATTCAGTAGGGACGCACCGAAACCAGAAACGACGCGGACGCACTCACAGGCAGCCCTTGCTTCGGGCGTGGTTTGCCAAACGGGCTCGTCGTACCGTATCTGACGTACGAATTTGAGATGGCTGCGCAGATGGACGTCCGAGCAGGCACTGGAGAATACAAAGTGAGTGACACGACGAAGGTGACAAGATAGAGCTCGGGCTTTCCGCAATTAGCGATGACGAAGTGGAACGGACGTGATTATCTTGAGGCCGCCCAGCGCCCTCCCACCGAAGAATCGATCGTCTCCTGGATGTATAGAGGCATCGCCCTCTGTGGCTGAAGAAGGGACCGAGGAGCACAGGGCTTCCCCGCAGGTGGCTAGTAATAATCTCAATCAGCCACTTATGTGCCATATACGGCCTTGGCACCCACTTCGCTCAGAGACGTTGCCTCGGAGAATCTTCTGGCTTCTGCGAGGCTTTGACAGGAGCAAACGTGCTCATATTAATTCATTGATGTCACCAATCTCACCAGGCCGCCTAATGAAATTCAGTAGCGGAAAGGAGCTGGAAAACAGCTGGTGTACTGCCCTCATAACCACTCCCACTCACCCCACTGTTGTAGGCATGATACCAATTTTTTGGCAATGAGTGATGGCCACGATACCAGGGGTCGGCGTTATATAGCGGAAGCATGTTTCAGGAGATGCACTGTTGGCACTAGCAAATTCGGGTCGATATTTTACCGAACTAACCAGGCACAGTGACTGTCGCAAAATAGCGGCTTTGAAACTTCCACGGCGCCAAAGCGATACTTGGGCACAGAGTCCAGCAGAAGATACTGAAGGCAACAAAACGCCCATGCAGGGCGGGACTGCTGCTGGGTGATGCCGAAGGAATTCTGCATATGAGCGCCAGGTTGCAACCTCGCGGAGCCTCGGGATCGTAGTAACCTACGGGGCGAACTCATACGAACTCCTGTCACCATATCAGTTTACAAAGCTCCACCTATTGCTGCGAGGACAGTTCTTCAGGGAGTCGCCGGCCTACCGGGAGTCTGCAGCTAAAGTCAATCTTCGTATAAGTTCATCCACATCCGCTAGACGATTGAACCATCCAGGGTAAGTCGGACGGCACAGCAACGGGGCATGCCATACCAGCGGAAGACCGCCCGGTAACATGCGAAAGCATTCCGCATGCATCCTAGAGGCTTGACGGCATTCCGAGCATACGTAAGAACCCTTCTGACGATTCAAGTGAAGATCTCTCTGTCCGGCACCCGCCAGAATCTGGATTGGGACCTGCACTTCTGTTTCAAAGAGTGCACAAAGTGATGGAAACTTGAGACGCACGCTACTAGAAGTCAGATCGAAGGATTCTCCATTACACAGATCAAGAATCGCGGTGAGTCCCGCACTCCTGTATACTGTGTTTCGAAGAGATGCCTCCGCGGTCGTCAGTTCTGCACAAAACATCATGGCAAAAATTGGTCCCGATAGACAAAGAGGATTTTGACTCAGCGAGTCCGCATATTTCGTGAGTCCAAATTCAGAAATAGGACGTTGAGCGAACTAGCGTTGTGGTAGTACAATGTCGATTTGACGCATCCAAGAGGCGCCACTTGTAAAGCTAATCCCCTGTATTACGAGAGCGGCGAGTCAAGGCTGCTTCCGATAGAGAATCCTCATCCTGACGGCCTTGCGAGTGGCCCGCACTATCTCCTTACCTGGGTGCTATCTCTGCCACCCTTAAATGTGCGGGAAAGCATACCTAGGCCCGGGGAGACAAGATGTTATCAATAATAGTCCATTCATTCCTATTAGGATTGCTGTTAGAGACGTCACACAAGACGACACCGAGGGTATGCCAAGGCAACGGGAGAAATACAGCGCGTATAATCCACAAGGCAAGGACGTTAGAGCCACAGTACCTGAGTACGAACTACTTACGAAGTTCGAGGCTTCGAGCTGGAAGGAAAGGAGAACCCAGCCTGATTGAGACGGTTTCCCACGAACTACGGTATGTCTTCCGCCACTACACCGAAGACGCGGTTGGCGTCGAAGGTCTCTTTCGCGTCCTTGACACCGAATAACCTGGGCACTGTACGAAAGCTTAACTCGGTTCTCTTTCCCATCAAGTACAGCGATAAACTCTATCGAGACATCCTGGCCCCTGAGTTGGAAGATTACTGCAAACTTAGTAAGTTACAAAGTTGCCCAGCTTGCCTTGATCACCCCCGAAATTGACCGACGTTCGTGATATGGCAGTCTACTATAATGACGTACCCGTCGGTATCATCTGCAGTAGATTGGAGCCTCAACCTGGGGGGACAGCCAAATTGTATCTCATGACGATGGGTGTTTTGGCTGTTGGTTACGCTCTAGTTCGCTGATTGTTCTAGTATTGATGACATCCATCCAGCCATATCGCTCACTAGGTCTTGGATCGCAAGGCCTCGAAGCTATTCTGTCTGCGGCTGCTGTTAGCACAAAGCCGAAGATCAGCCATGTCTATCTCCATGTTCAGGTCTCTAACACCGCAGCCAAGCGATTCTACGAAAAACATGGCTTCACGGAGGTCCGAGTTCATGAGCATTACTATAAGAAGATCGAACCACACGATGCGTGGATTCTCGAAAAGGCTATCGTATCCCTTTCATAAAGTGGACACTTGGCGAATGCCGGCAAGCGGCTTATAGTGGTTATTGGAAAGGCATTGTCCAGAATTCACTCGCTGGCTGGTACAAGGTACGGGGTTGACTCAGGCTGTTGATCTTCCCGTTTCCAATCATCTAGTATATTACTGGCGCTTTCTACTATGCTAGGGATACAGATATTAGGTTCTTCGTTTATGTACCATCATTTGCGAGATCACGTCCAAGAAAGCCAACGACAGCAGGGACAAAGCTCGACTACGCACGAAATATGTTAGAATGTTTCAATACCGGCTACGTCACGATAGTCAATATCTCTTGTATGTCTGTTTTCTGACTGACACTGCTGACCTTGCATAGGCGCCTTTAGTATGTCTCCTCTTGCGTTCCGCACCCCTTGACAAGCTGCCGGTACTCATGAGTCCGCATAAATATGAGGGAAAGATGCGAGCTGACCTGATGACGCTTGAGTGCATCCTTTCTCGTGAAGGTCTTACCGCATCCACCGTTACATAGGAAGGGCTTCTCTCCAGTATGCGTGTCGCGATGCCGTTTCAAATCGTGTTGACGATTAAAAGACAAGGCGCACATATCGCAAGAAAATGGGCGAGCGGGGGAGGCGGGGTATTGTTCTCCACCCCGCGCCAGCATGTACGGCACCTGAGGGGCATATGGCGACGGAATCGAGTGCGCGGAGTTACTGTAGGCCTGAGGCGATCCGTATGCTCCGGGCTGAGCAGAAGGGCTGGCCGAGAGCGAATATGAATGGGAATGGCTGCGGGGATGAGAGGGGCGACCTTGTGAGGCGGAGTAACTGTGCGCTGGTGTTACTCCTTGACCCGACGAGTATTGTGATTGACCATTATGAGAGGAACTCTGCTGCGCACGCGATCTCCCGAATGCGTCAACGTAGGAGGATTGCTGGCCCGCAAAATAGGATCCGTCTTGGTAGGCGGTGGGCGATGTCCCTTGCTGGGACAAGGCAGGGTCGTAAGTTGCACTGTAGTCCTGTCCGGCAGCTATGTAGGCTTGTGACGATGGTGGATGACCATAAGGTGAGGACGAAGATGAGTCGTATGGAACTTGGCTAGCTGATGAAGGATAGCCTTGCGCATACTGATTAGTGTTAGCCCATTGTCCCCCATACGTGGCGTTGTCGGACGCCTGAAGGCTGCGGCGACGGTGGTGGGACATAAGGTTTGTCGGTGCGGAAGGACTGTGCTGGTAAGCCCGATCTTTGAAGCGACGCCTTCATAAAGCGGTCGGAGAAGCGCTAACTGTCACGCTGCTAGCACGGCACCTGTACAACATCCCCAATATACGAGACATCCCGACCGAATGATTAGATCAAATGTCAGGAAATAGCACGCACCCGGCACAGTCCTCCATTCATCGGACCCCAAAGACGGGGAACAGTCAGGCTACCGGGAACGGCGTTGGTAGGCTTATCAGGTCAGATGTGGGTTCCTGCAAGATTGGACACTTCGGCGAGCGGGTCTGTAGAGCGGCCGTGCATCTCGGCCCAGGGCTGTGTCGCCATAGAAAGTTAGTTCGTCTTAGCCTAATGCAAGAAAAATACGCGGGGAAGATGAGTTACTGACAATTGTGGCGCTCTTCAGGGACCAGAAGCTGAAGATCTTGGAAACGAGCCTCGACGAGCGCAAGCGCCGAATGCGGGACTCAGCTGGAGATTCATATGGCTATCTAGGTGCTGGCATCATCCTGATAAAGACCTTAGCTCGCTTCAGGAACAGATACTTAATCCAGGGTGCATGATGGCTGACTCAACTCGTAAGTCGTGATCTTCCTGCTGCGCGTCTCGATGGGTCCGACTACATAAGAGGGATAGGATAACCGGTTTGCCACTCAATACCCTCAAGTCCAAGGATTTCGGCAACCACAATGGGAAGCGGCAAGAAAGGCTTAGATCCTGATATCCGGTGATGACGTTCTCTTTTGGGTGTTGGTAACTATGGCAGAGATATCTAAGTTTGGGTTGAAAACCTGATGTCATACTGTACTGTCAAGGGTCGTCGGTCGAATTATGTTCTCAAATCATTAACGAGAAGTCCACGAGTTGGGCTCGGTACTTACCTGATACAATGACGTTCGGACATACTTCGAGGAATCCCACGTCATATGTCAAGACATCAAAATGACCATGTACGTACTATGCGGAATAGAGGTTCGGGTATTGCAGTGCTCCGTCGAGATTAGCGAGTGGTTTGTGGCGTTTCGGATGCGAAGTGGGCATCTCGATGCTACTGATCAAGATTCGAGCCTGCCTCTGGTGATGCCGTCGGAGTTACAGCTTCAGCCTGTAGGAACGTTGGTGAATTGTGTATAAGAAACTGCAGTAGATCTTCTCGAGAGGGCGCATGACTGACTGTTTTGGCGTAGCACCATTCCTGGCGCTGCGGCACCAAGCCTGCGCCTGTCAGCTAGTACCCGTGTCCCTCTGACGGCATCCCCCTTCCTACTGATCTCCTGACCTAGTGACTACAATGTCAGAGCAATGTCAGAAGTGATTGGCACAACTTTGCTCCATGGAGCGGACTCGGACAATGATCACAGCCTCACCCAGTCTCTAGCTGGGGTCTCGTAGGAGTACCTACATGCTCTCAGTACTCTTTTACCATGTATTCGCGGCAGCTTGGTAGGAATCGATACCTGACAGGGGTTTAAGATGACTGCCTGTGAAGCGTTCACTAATTCGTCCACAGGTGACCAGGGCCATCATGTCATCTCTAGCCTAGTAGTGATGCGGGAGGATATTAGTAAATTACCTCCTTACCTCTTTCTCCGGTGCTGTCAGTCAATTAACGGAACCGAACATCGAAGGAGCCAGTCACTGGCATTCTACCCCTTTGGAGAGCTAGGATCAACTGACCTGTCATGCAAAGCTCCCGATCCTTGTGCGCTACTGCGTCGCTGAGCGCGAATACAATGATTCCGCCTCCGGTTGGCCCGAGAGGCATTAGTGCTAGCCCTATATTGCTGTCCTGCATCGCGGAACTTGTCATATTTCTGGATTATTGCTTATATGAAAGGTTTAAGATACTCCCTGCTAATGGCCGAACTGATGCGCGCAAAGCCACGAACTTCCTGTACTAAAACCCCCGCTATGGCCACAACGAGGCCGCGGAGAAGCCGCCTTCTTAGGCTCTGCTGCTGGCTTCTTCCTATGTAGCTTCTCATGGCTAAGTTCAGGATAAGCTTCGCCGCGGATGTCGTCGGAGGTCACTAAGTAAGTGTTCCCAGCTTCCCGTTCCAGTTTGGCTGTAACTGAACTATATATCCGAGTCGGGGACACGCTCCTTCAAGATGCTACATGGAATAAGCGTTTCGGTTCCCCAGAGAGCTGACACGCTTAAATGTTTAAGTAGAATGATCGGTGAACACAGAAAGCAGGGTATACTTCGCCATCCAAAAGAAAACACGGAACGGACATGCGCAACGACGCGTAGCGGCACTTGAAAACCTTGTTGGCTAACTGCAAGACATGAGCGGGGGGTCAAATGTTTTGCGCTGGGGCGCCTGCCATCACTTTACCCCACCAAAGGCGGCAGGGGCGGCTCTATACCCGCCGCTCCGAGAAGGGCGCTCACACTCTCGAAAGGGCAGTTCGCCGCCCTCCGAGCTTCATACTTGCTATCCCTGGTCATTGGGATTTGTGTGGCATTGGAGCAGGATCTGCGAGTAAAAACCAGACTCCCGCTGCCATTTGGCAGTTAGCTGGAAAGGCGTATCTCTCGTGACCTCGCGCCAGCAACGAATCTCCACAGGGGACTAACGCTTCCGCAATACGGACATGTCTCTAACTTGCCACATAGACAATATTACATACAGCGCTGCGTGATAGGACCTGGTCCAATCGCACCCGGTGGGCCACCAAGATACTGAAGAATGTTATCAGTGACCAACGTCTAGATTGGATCTCCTGGTAGGTAACTTAACAAGCTATGGATAAATCGTTTGAATACCTGTCGCCTCACCTTCCAATCTTCAACGTCGTTCATGCACAAGCCACTTAGCCTGAAATGTCAACCATTCCCAACTGCACCTAGAGATCCGTCTCAAGCAAGATTTACCATCAAACCTCCGGTACGCAGACAATATCACTATATGCTCTTCCTTGTAAGAAAATCTTCCCCAATGGAGGGTACAGGTATGGAGGTTGATTGCGACCTAACTTTCCCCAAGTGTACCTGTTGAACGAACAATATGGCTCCGTGTACGTGCGTTGGCTTGATTTCGAGTTCAACGTCCGATCCACACATCCTGTCTCTAGGCGCCCGGATGTCACGCTAGTACCGTCTCTCAGGCCTATGGCACCTGAGTGCCTGGATTTTGTCCAAGGTTACCGCGTCCATTCTCAGGATCCTGGAAGCTTCGTATGGGGGTGTGTCTCAAGGAAAGGCGTCGAGGTGCCTGGTGGAGCTCGAATCTTCTAAACATCGTGACCAGTTTGGACCCAGCGATGACCATATCGAGATGCGCAGCCCAGGAAGGGACGTCTCGCTCTCGATGTTCCTACTGTGTCTCGCCAGGCCTGTTACCGGAAATATTTCACTGAGAGAGTCGCGGTGATGCCGAGGGACAGCATTCTCCAAGGCTGCTCAACGCAGCCCACCGGACCCCTTGAAGCAAGTACTCGATATATGACTCTATCCTTGGCTTCTTATTATAGCCGTCAAACTCAGATCAAATGTCCGGGACTTCGTTGCTGACAAGGGGCCCCGCCGGACCTGTTGGACGAACTGGATGATTCGGAAAGGTAGGCGTCTTGAAGCAATTCCATCGGCAATGGACGGTCAACTGTTCTGTATCGGAGTAACCGCCTTTCTGAGCTCTTACGCATAGCCAAGGTAACAATTTGTCAGCTAGTCATTGGCATTGCTCATGACTCAGGCAATTGTATATTGCTCCTTTTGGAGAATAGGACGAAATCGGCACATAGGCATTTCTCAGAGAGCTACACCAGGTCTACAGATCCGTCATGTTACAAGTCTATACCGACAATTCAGGAATGAAGATAGCTGTGCGGAACAGTACTTTTGAGCGGTGCTTCGTGGCATCGATGCATCGCCCTCGCGCAGGATAGCTTCTGCAGGTGGCCCAGAACCAACCAACGTTAGATAGGTCCAAGGTTTGATCATCAAGCTTTATCTTGATACTGATCTGCAAAACTAGAAATGCCCCACTTGCTAGTCCATTGCTATGTTATGGTGGCTTGATAAATACGGGTACTGCCTAGTGCGAAGAGGGCCTGGTACCGGAGGAAGCCGCTGTAATAGCTGGGTAAGAATGAAATGGCCAACCAGCAGGCTCCAACTCATTGGAGTTACTTATAGGGTACAAGCTTGTCAGTCCTAACGAGTCTCGAGTGCGCGGTGCGTCTGGTGGCGTAAGGTCAATGGAGGGATTACAGGAATATCATGACCGCTCTACTTGTCTAAGGAAGGCGACATTGCTTTCACTTAGAATGCCATCCTGCACCTAGCTTGCCTGCCATGTCAACTGGCAGACACTTTGCTGCTGCCGCTGGCAACACTACACAGACAAGGTTGGTGACTGACGGGCAGTGGATATTACGGTGAAGGCATAGGGAGGCCACTCAGAACAAGAACAATTTCTCGTTCCGCATAACCCACCTTTCGCTCTGATTCTAGGCGACAGGAATATGCCCCGGGTGCGCTCTGTCCGGAGACGCCTATCTTGGTCCTTCTGCCACATGCAGTACTAGTAGTGGGGATGGCGGCTGACATACGCTCGCCCGCGATCGCCCGGAGGTTCAGATGTCCTGCACAAGAAATATTATTACTGGCATGGATCTGAAGAGAGGACCAAATATTCGTAATGCCCCGTTGAGAGCGCTAGGCTTAACCCCACTACAAATCCTATCCGCCGGTTGGCTTCATTGCGGCGGCCCGATTATAGATAGACTCAATTCACATCCGCAGTCATGGATAAGACTTACATGGGTTACTAAGTACATAGCTGGTCACACTGCCCGGCAGGCCCTGCGGGGGCGTCGATGTTTTGCCAGTGACTTAGCATGTCTAGGAGTAGCTCCTTCATACACTGACAGACATCCTGCTCTCCTGTGTCGCCCGGCGTCTCCTCAAAAGTTTGCCCCACAGCCCTCTTGAAAGCCCCATCTTCAAGTAACCGAATCCACTCGTTGTCTTTACCTTCAGGAGGTACTGCTTCCTGGACCTTTCCGTATGTCACGATCCATTCGAACTTTATCTTTAGCTCTTCGATTCTCCGATCCGCACGAGAAGCCTGGAGAGAGGTGAGAACCTCACCGGCGGGAGGGACCGGGAGTTTGCTGGCTATAGTATGGGGATGAGGGTCGGAAGAGGTAGGCTTCGAGTTTTGTGCGGTTTCTGCGACTCCGGTTTGAACACCCCCTCGTCGTCGGGCGCGGGGTTGTATTCGGCCCTGAAACCTGGGGCCACTTGCTGCCTGGGCACTTTGCCCTGAAGGGCGAACAAGATACTTCCGGCACAATGCCAATTTGAACTTACTCCCGACCAGGGATGCAGGCAGGACTGAGAAGAACTCGGAGAAGCTTGGATACTTCTGCGCAGTCAATCGCGCAAAAACAGCGCTAGTGAAAATAGCTGCGTCGAAATATACCACGGAGGTTAAGTTGACCATCTGGGATTGAGCGTAAATATTTGACGCATTACGATCAAGCCGGAAATTGTACGCACCAACTTCATCAATCGAGCGCCAGCAAATCTCCGGGACGGTTCTGGTTGATTCAAGCAATAGAACACTATGTCAAGGGGGATGTCGGCTTCCCACCGTGACCCTGTGCCGGCCCTTGCAGGAGGGATCTGGCGTAACAGAAGAGGGGAGTACCGCGCTATTAGAGCGATCGTTAGTCTTGAAGGAGGCTCGCATATCAGCGCTTACGGTTTCCGCTATTCTCCGTAAGGCGTTCGTCTTTCTCGAAGACGTCAAGGAGCCAGTCGAGGACAGGCCATGACTGTGGGCCAACCATCGCAGGCGCCTCTGGATCCAGGATCTCGCTATCTTTATCACTGCCACCGTCCCACGTGGATTTCCTACGTCTAGTGGACTTGTCCCTCGCAGACGACTCATTATTACTGCAATTGATGAATCCCTCGCGCAAGACTGCCCAGCAGTTCTTACACTGCTTTATGTTGGTGGCTTCACGAGATATGAAGGAGTCTTCATCTTCGTCCCCTATGTCGTGTGCCTCGTCGGCCACGGGCTCTTCAGGGCCTGGGTAGCTCGGCAAGGCACGCAGAATAGATGCAGGAGTATTCGTCGCCGCGAAGGACGTCAAGCATTGACGTGCAGCCTCAGATGCTGTAAGAGTAGGAACAAGCGCAGACTTCTTCTGTTTCGCGGGAGCTATCTTGCTAGGAGACGCATATACAGCCTTGAGTCCCTCACTCTCTCTGTCCGGAGGCGGATATAATGCAATGTACAGTAGTTGACGTATATGCGACCTAACATGCAGAAACACAGTCAGGGATGGGTCTGTGCGCTCAGACAGCATGCACCTACGGCGACGGCCTGTACCTCGGGGAACGTAACTGCATAAGTAGTGATATGCCGGCCTCATACTGGCCTTCCTCGAAGCAGGCATCCACGAGTGCCCGCTGATTCTTGGTCATGTCCCTTTCATCATTGGCGGGACCACTGAGCAGCATTGTTCCTGGCCTTTGAAAGCAATAATGGGAACCCGTCGCGTGCTGTATAGATATAGGAAGTTACGCGAAACGGGAAGTGCAAAGACACTGGCAGGTGCAGAACGTGTGGCCCTGAAACAGGCCGTGTGACAACCCGAAACGCGTCGACGCGTATTACGCGTCTGATTGGCTTGCTTATATGAGCCGCATGTGCATCGATTTCGAAATACTGCTGAAAGGCAGCACATTCAAGAATGGCTTCCACGACTTGACAATTCGCTAAAGTACATGGAACTTATGGAAGATGGTTGGGGACGGCCGTCTAGGGTTGTCCGGTAGGCAGACTGCAGGTGGCTGCGGTAAAAACAATCTACAACCGAGCTTGCACGCTGTCGTCTTCACGGATTCGAACAACAGCCTTCCCCCATGTCTGCCGTTTCTCAATGGCCACCAACCCATCAGCCAGTCTATCGAAAGGCCAAACTTCTGAATAAACAACCGGCTTCACGCGCCCGGACGACATCAACCTAGGCTTTCGTCAGGAAGGGAACGTCGGTAGATAGATGCTGGTACTGATAACTTACTCCATGAGATCCTGCCACACCTTTGACATATGGGCAGGCTCATTCTCTGGAGACAATGGGTATCAACCCAATTTCAGGAGGCAGATAATAACGAATACGCACTAGCATATGCACCCCAATGAATACCTACAATAGATATATTCTTCAGAAGGACGAGATTCAGAGGCAGCTGCGAAACGAGAAGTAAGCCTCCGAATCAGTATCAAGAAGTGATTATGCAATGCCTTCTCAATAGAACCGGCGGCAAACCCGACAACCAGCGCTCTCCCTTTCCATGCTATGCATTTTAAGGAGTCTATACGAGAGCGTGAAAAACAAAGCATCTGGGTGTGTATGGTTGGCACGAACCTTTGATAAGCCCGACAGGATCATAAATCACATCCACCCCCTTCCCTCCAGTGATGTTCAGGACTTCCTGTTGCCACCCAGGCTTCGTGTAGTCCACGCCGAAGTCGGCACCCCCGAAGTTCTTCGATACCTCGAGCTTCGCTCGTGAGCCTGCGGCAGCGATCACCTTGGCTCCAAGGGCTGCATAACCAGCATTCAGCTGCGGCGAAGAGTTTGATATCATGTGAGCACCTACCTTTGGCTAGCTGCACAGCTGCGATGCCTACTCCTCCTGCGGAAGCCGTGACCAAGACCCATTCCCCTGAACAATATCAGGACGCATGCCTATTGAGGCAAACCTCCTCGCAAACGCACCTGATTTGAGCACCGCCCGCCCAACAAGGGCTTCATAACTCGTTGGCCAAGTAACGTACAGGCCTGCCAGTGTTGAATACGACTTCAGCAGCACGAATTTCCCTTCGCCCTGACACGTACCTGCCGCCTGGTCATACGAGATATTGTCGGGGATCGGCAGGATATTGTTCAATGGCACCGCGACTTTCTCCCCGAAAGCGCCCTGAGCACCACCGAACACCCGATCACCAGGTTTAAAGCTGCAGCCATTGGGAATAGGCGAGTTTGACGAGATGCGACCTGCAAATTCCATCCCAAGAACGAACGGCATGGGAGGCTGATTCTGGTATTTGCCTTGACATTGCAGTATCTGGACATGACAACCAACGGTCCCGGTGAAAGTACTACCAGTACAAGAGATGGATACGCACGTCGAAGAAGTTCAGACCGCCACTGTAGACATCTACCAACACATCCCGAGGGCCGGGCTTCGGGTCGGGGAAGTCTGAGGTCAGACTAATCTTCGAGGGATGGGCGTAGCTCTCAATAACGAAGGCACGCATGATGGATGGCGGGGAAGCCTCATCCTATCCTTGGAGTGTTAGCCCTGTATGTATATCCGTGAGATTCATGCGCAAGCGTATGCCCTAGTATGCAAACATGGTCACGTTGCACAAGGAACCGGCGAACGAGATACCGGGCGCGGAATATCATGACACTGCCATCCTTGAGGGGGAAACTCCAAGCTTATATCGGGGTGTCAGAGCTACAGGATAGATGATGCGAGTATGTACAAAGATGCGATGTAATTCTACAAGATTCGATAACTGCCGACAGCACACACGCCTCCCTACTCATGCGAAACCGAAGCCTTCCCCACCCTCATTAATGGCTAGTAATAATTGTTGCCGAAGCATCTCATATGAAGTGTATTGAGGCAAGTCAATTTGATTGAAGCCTTATCGTGTGCAGGTTAGCTTACTCATGGTAGCTGTATTATATGTCGGGGTAGAACTTACAGGTATGAGCCTGCGGCAGACGGTCCGGATCCCCGTATGCTTTGTGTATTGAGAATCTCTGCGTCCCTTGAACGCCTTGCAATTCTGTGAAGCCGCCGAGAGGCACACGAGCGGTTCCAGTGGCGAAACTCAGAACTTTGGCTCGTTCATCACGATTGAATGACTTGAGCGCTCGCCACCACCAGACGATGACAGGATCAGAGCTAGAGTAGCCGTGATACTCGGTTGCTGCCCGCCACTCATCGACGTCGATGTCAGGAGTCCCGGAGATGAGGAGCTCCAGTTCTTGCTCATTGAACTACGGGGGATTTGCGCTCGTAAGAATGAAATCATCACAGCACCAAAGAGAAACATACGATTGCTATGAGATCCTTCGGGATGATTTCGTAGAAGCCAGCAAGAAGAGCTTCGATCTGATCCTTCGTAGACAGGTACAATCTATACTGCGCGGACAGCTGTACGAATTCCTTCTTATTCTCCTGGGTTACTGGAATGGAGGTACCGCCTTCTTTCAAGGGAATGACTTTGGTCGTACCGAACTAGAAGGGGATATGTATTCAGATATGAACTTTTAGGATACGGACTTAGTCTAGAACTTACTTCATCTGCCTCGACGCTGAATGTTAGATCGAGAGGGCTAGGATCATTCTCTAAGATCCAGCAGAGTGAGTTATAGTATTCGGGGTCGACCCATTCTACGTCTCTGTAGTCGACGGGCTTGCCCAATATTTGCCTGTACAAGCTTCGTGCAAAGTAGGCGTCCAGTAATCGGCCGTCGTAGATCGCTTTCCCGATAACACGACCCACGAACTTGAAGAAGATCAGGTGTTCGGGGTTGATCCAGGACCTGCTGTTCGGCTGGTATGTCAGCTTGTCGGCGGCACAAGGCTGGAATAAGGCATTGTTTGGATCAAACATCTGTCGTGCCAAGATCTGGAACCACTCTCGAGTGACGCCTCCCGCATCCACACCCTCTTCATCATAGAACCGCACACTGAGTTTGCCGTACTTGATCTGATCTCCGGTTTTGCGTTGCAAATGCTGGACACTGTCTTCGAAAACGCGTGACCGGCGAACATTCAATTGTAGAGTGGTATGGGCATCCCGGGAGTGAGGTCGGCGGTGGAGTTGTTGGTTGAAATAGTTGCGCTTGTTATCAAAATCGAGAACGCGAGGATTGTTGACAAGGAGGGAGAACGAGCCGCTCATCAAGGATGGATTATTGCGAACCATAAGGTTCAAGACTTTCCGATGAGCATCTGTGAAGGAGATGAACAGGTCTTCCATGGACTCGCGGGCAGTGACCGGAGAACGTGGAGACGATGCACCGCGCAATAGTCTCGCAGTCCCTGCATTAGCAGTTTTGGGCCCCACATACTTGCAAACAACCATCAACGACTCGATGAGCGGCAGCAGGACGGTAGCTATATGTTCAAGTTCCGGTCGTTCTTCAATGACGGACAGGCAATCGCCGAGACGTCGCCAGAGCGGCGTGAACCGGAAGGACTCGTATATACTTTGTACCTTCTCCTGGTCCGCTTCATTGGCCGTCCCGGTACGTGGGGAGTACATGTAATCGATAGTCTTCAGCACTCGGAGCAACTTGGCTTGATCTGACGAAGCCGATGCAAATTTCGAAGCAACTGGGCTGCCCAGCACGTCCCCTTCCGCGCGTGTAAGGACTTCTGCAAGGGCATCAAGGTCCGCATATAGAGATTGACCCAGTTCCTGTGCTCTGGACTTGAGCTCTTGAGCGATCACTTCCCGTGCATCGGGAATAGCTGAGAGATGCTGAATTAGTGCTAGACTTTGCTGGAAAGTACGACCAGAGCATTCCCCGGCAGTTAGTATGTTGACGACAAATCGGAGAACAGCGTGAGGTATTTGGGGAGGATTTGCCAAGAGCATCTTCTCCTCAGGTGTAGGATCTGAGCTGCCTTGAGGACCGACTGCCTGCTGTTCATTGAGAGCGGCGGCTATCGACCGACAACAGATAAAGGTAATTAGTGTCCAATCAAACTGCTATGCATCGCTCATACCATTCGATGGTGTCTCTGCTGGGACATCTGAATTGCGGCTTTCTGCAGCAGTATTTTCCGCAACGTTTGCTTGTTGCCCCTGAGTAGTCGATCCCTCGATAGAGTCTACAGTTCGTTTCTCGACGTTGGGCAGGCTGGAAAGAGGTCGAGTTATCGTAGCGAGTAAACTGACCACAGACTCCATAATGGTGGGGGCCTTGAGGAGGGATTGACGATCCAGAAGCCCTAGCAGTAAGACTATAGGATAGTATGTCTGAGCGCCCTGTTTTTCTTTCCCCTTCCCTTTCTTGGATCCCGTTCTTCGAAGACCAACCGGCAGCTCATGCTCTGTCAAGAAGAACAGGGGGAAGTGATCACTTGAGTTTACAATGAAGGTCAGGGCATCAAGACACCGTTGAGCAATGACGTCCGGAACGGCCTCGTGCTGGGGCAGGAGTGAGCTAAAGTAATCAGAGGTAGCCTTCTGCTTTCCGGAGCTTCTTGGAGTCTGCTGAGATGGCGACTTCACGTTGCGGAAAGACATCTGAGAGAAACTCTTATCTACGGCGGACAAATCGCCTGATCCATCTTGGAGAATGTTCAACAGCAGGTTAAACAACTCCGTACGGGTTTTCGCATTTTCACAGAGATTCACGAGTACTTGGAACAGAAGATTTTTCTTGAGGACGTGAGGGAAGAACAGTAATCGAGCCAGGATCACAATCCCTGCCTTGTCTAGCAACTGGATTGCGTCACGGGGCGTGGGAGGCTTCCGGGCAGGCACGAATCGGTTAGCAGCTCGAGGGAGGTTGTGCGCGGGGGGTCGACGAGGCAGAGCCTCTCTGAATACGCCGGCTTCGGCGATCATATGCGACGGCAAAGACTGTATGAACCCATCCTCCTGATCCAGAAGTACTGCTTGTCGAAGGTGAGGATCCAGACTAGCGATGATACTAGCCGCGTCCATTTCCGAGGGCCCGGTTGGTGGGCGTCCCGCTTCCTGTGCTTGCCGGTTCCTCTCCAAATTCTCCTGTTGAATGATCTCTGCCCGTATATCTGGGGGCAAGGCGTCCAAGAACTCGGGACTGATCTGTGAATCAGAGGGTCGTTCCACTCTTGAAGTCCGCTGTTCACGGACGTGCTGATTTAGGACTTCCTCTCGCATGTCGTCCGGAAGAGCCTCGAGGAAGGTAGGATCAATTCCAGTGTCTGTTATATCGACTGGACTGCCATGGATCATCACCGTCACGCGCTCGGCATTCGTGGACGATTCGGCTCCAGAGGCTGATGCTTGGGGTGCAGACTCGCCTTCGTTCGGTGGTTCTTCCTCTGCTTCTCCATTCGACGCAGCAGCATCGCTAGGCGCATCCGGTACGTCCATCATTTCAGCATCAACATCGGCTGCAGGTTGTGTCGGAGGTCCGGCCTCGTCATTGCTCAGGGAGTTTGCCTGCGACGGCGCAACTTGATCAGCAGAGTCAGATGCCCCTTGTATCTGTGTTTGGGATGCCTGAGCTGCACGCTCCCGCTCTTTCGCAGCTTCATCTGCTTTAGCCTGCGCCTCTTCACGTTGCCGGGCAAGTTCTCGCTCCTCCTTCGCTTTGTTCTCGATGGCAGCGGGAAGAAGCGCGATAACGACGTGGTTGGATAACTTGTTGAGACGATCCGACACAAACTTGCCGTGGAAGATTCTCGCCTGCTCTGCCCAGCGCTGCAACGTCAGAAAGGGTTCGAACTCTCTAGTCCTTGATCGATTGTCCCGCGGATTTCTTTCAAGCCTCAACGAGGCGGAGAGCGTTCCACGGGGATGCCGCTGTAATGTGCCCCTTTCCACATTGAGAACGGCACCGTTGAGACGAATTTCTTGCGGACCAGCTCCGCGGCCAGGTGCCAAAACATGCTGGATCAACTGGATAGCTCCTCCTCCGATGACGTCTTCAATAGTTTGGATGAAGTCACCATATGCGTTGCCCAATCCCCGGTGGCCCCGACGGTTGCCTCTCCCTTGAGTGGGCACCCTGTTACCAGACGTAGAATTGTCGAGCAGTAGAGGATGAGTGGTGGGTTCCGGAACAGACGAGCCGACATTGCCTACTCGCCCGAAAATGTTCATATCGTCATTGGCTACTGCGTCGCTCTCAATACGCAGCAATAGTAAAGAAGTTAAAACTCACCACCGCGACGACGTCCTGAACGATCAGCTCCAAAAAACCACCCTGGAGACGCAATCAGGTTAGCGATGGCAGGGTCGAAGCCGAACACGTCGTCCCCGCTGGGCTGGTTCATCTCATCCGCCTCAAGAATACCTATCTCGTCATAACTGAGGACGATGTCAGATTGGCTGGTGGTATGACAGACTGGAGCTAGAGATTGGGCTATACTTACTTATCGCCCATGGAGACAGCGTCCTCTTCTTCGTCCAGTTCTTCATGTATGAAATGGACATTTCCTGTTGTAACATCAATGGTCTGCCAACACAGCCCAGAGCATGACCGTACCTCGGACATCCTCCTCATCGACGTCTTCACCCGCGTCAGCGACGTCCTCCCCGACTGGCACATCCTTGAAAGGAGATGAAGCTATAATTACCTGGAGGAACCCAACACTTACCTGCCAAATGATCTGTCCCTCACCTGCCTCCTCGCCATCATCCTCTTCACCATCATCATCGTCTACAGCTTCATCATTTTCAACAAGTCCTTCTTCCTCTTCTACTTCCTCCTCTTCATCTTCCCAGCCATCCTCAGAAGCCTCACTCTCATTTTCCAGCTCCTCGTTATCCACCTCTTCCTCATCCTCAGAAGTATCTTCGCTCCCAGTCTCGTCATTGCCAAAGTCCATCTCCACGTCTTCATCCTCATCTTCTTCGTCTTCGTCCATGTCCTCTTCTGCGGAATAATGGACGTCCTCCATTTCCTGGTTAATATGAGTAACTATAGACAAACTGATCGGAACTGATGCTCACCCCGCCATACCTGCCATTCATTTGAATACGGAGTCAATATAGCGTTAAGTATTCCTTCAGGGCTGGGTGGTACGCACATGCCAAGAGAAGAATTCCTGTACAAATCCGGGGTTTCCTCTCTATCCAGTCGATCCATATCTTCATCCTCCTCGGAAAGGACTCCATCATCCACACTCTCGGTCTTTTCCTCAAGTGCTTCTTTATTCTTGTCCGAGGCTCGACTCATCCTGATAGCAATCTTGGTCCTGAGGACCCAGTGTGAGACATATATGTTATTAATGAACGATAGACTTACAAATGTTCCAGAGGACGCAGCAAAGCGGTCACGACGCCGCGGACGTTGGGATAATTCAGGTCCACTTCGCCTAGAGCGTTGGTCAACGTCGCTACAAAATTCTTCTCCAACATGATTTTGCCAATATGAGTAGGGCTCTCATCTTGCGCCTTACGAGTGCCGAGGTTGAATCTCACGGTGAGCAAACGGTTGCAGAGGTCGGCCAGGGCCAAAAGGCGACCGTACCGGGAGTCTACCGGCTCTGAACTAGGAAGATCTCGGATAGCTCGCCCAATCGCCTCAATCACAATCTTGCGAGCTGCAACGACATCTGCGGGTATGTCTCTAACGTCTTGCCCAGAGAAGGTATCAACACAGAGAGCGACGATTATGGACATGGCCCAATTGCACAGCATAATTCGTCTCCGCGAGTCGGCATCAGGTTGAGGTTGTATCGTCCCGAATGATATCAGGTCGGACAGCACGAAATGCAGTGCGGCGGCTTTGTGCTTGTTGCTGTGCTCCTTGTTTGGCGTCTGCCCGCGTCGCTTGAAGGAATATGATAGGAAAGCAGATTTACAAGTATCATAAGAGAAGAGCAATTCGGTCAAGCACTGTATCAGGAAAGCAGGATAGCCTGAGTCTGGCTGGCTCAATTCCGCAGGGTCTTTCGTGATGTCTGCTGCTGCCGGAGACGCGGTGGGATCCTGGGATGTATCACTAGTAGACGCTTGCGCGTTCGAAGCGTCCCCTCGCTGGTCGCTGGACGGCTTTACAGCCTGGTGTAATTCCGTGATTAGGAAATGAACCATGGGATCCACCAGTCCATTTACAGCGTCCTTGTCTCCTTCCCTCGGCACAGGATCCAGATCCATGGTCACTGAAGCAGTCTCAGCCTGCGAATCACGATCCGCGACGCCTTTTTCTTCTGAAGCGGGCTTGAGACTGATATGGCGAACGGGAGAATAAGGTTGAGAGAGCTGACAGATGGAGGCAGTGACCTTGATAAATACTGCAGGGTCACGGAGAGCTAGAGAGCTGCACTGCTTTAGATAGCTGCCAACGTCAACAATACGTGTCCGCGGGTGAGATAAGAAGCGCTTGATCTCCTGGCGCATGATATTATGGAGGACTGTGGAGTCTTCGACAATATGGCGTAGGAGGAGGGTGATGTGGGACTTCATACCGGATGTATGATCACCGGAGGAGTGTGATCTGAAGTGCTGGAAGACAAGGGAGACTCCGCCTTGCTTCGCGAATTGAACCGCCATTTGGTGGTCACAGGTAAGCAGCACGAGTAGCCGCAGGGCGGATAGGAGTTCGTCGCGCGGCAAATTGGGAAGCGCGAGGAGACGCATGCAGAAATTGAAGAGGGTTGACCGTGCCTCGGCATAGTCGGGGCCTATTCTAAGGTTCCCCTTGTCAATCTGTTCGCCTTCCTTTGGTAGCGTGATTGTAGTAGGCTCTTGAGCTAGGACCAACAGCGCTTCCACCACCAACAAGTGTGACGCCAGCCATTTCGGGATAGGTGGATTATTTTCGGGAGCCGTGGGCTGATTCGACAGAAGCAAAGCCAACAAGATGTCCATGAGCGTCCTGCCGTCATCCATCGCCTTTACGACTGTAGCCGGAGACTCATTCAACACAAGAGCTAGGAGCCGACATCTGACTGAAAGTGGCTGTTCTTGCATATCATACGCCTGCGGCGAGAACCGCTTGATGTCCTCGATGATTTGACGTATAGACTCGACCTGGTACCCATCAGCTGTGCCGATGAAGGCGTTACGAACTTCAAACGTCAGGGACGGGTGCTCATCAACGAGCCGCAAAGCTTGCCGTCCCATTTGAGCTTTCAATGGAGCCCTGGCCTCATCAAGTTCCCTGCGCCAATCTTGCGTGGTCTTCCGGGGAGCACTGGTCACAGGGCCTGTCTCCGTTGTGTCCGACGTATGCTCATGTACAGGAGATGGAGCAGACGCGCTCTCTCCTGATGACGCCTCCCCGATTTCCATCGGTACGTCCTCCTGAGCTGGAGGACCTGACGCTTCGTTAGGCTCCGCGTCGGGAGGGAAAGGGAAAGGATGGGCAAGTAACATTTCCGTCGCAGCATTGACGTTATTGTGCGTGCGCATCAAGGCCCGCTCTGCCGCAGACCGCGGGAAACCCATGTCCATTATCTGGCGAATGCGATTCTCGTCCACCGCTAGGGTCCGCCCGACGATACCCGACGGCACTGCGCCTGCCAAGTCTCCTGGGTCAACAAGCTCTTCATGTTCGCCACTCACAATTTGTAGGATAATCTGTATCACGGACTTGCTCAGGCTTAAGGGAGCTGATACTAGCCAAGGTGCTTCCCATAGCTCGCGCATCAGAGGTAACGCAGCTAGACGGACTCTGACCAAAAAATTGTGCGGCTCGAAGTAATCTGGATCCGTGTCTTCTTTATCGCGAGTCGTTGCAAAGGCTGTCTGGCCTGAATCGAATAACGGCTTCGAGGACACTAGCGGGAGAAGCAGGTGCAACGCTACTTTGAGGCCACCGTACGCGGGCAGAGTCTCTCGCTTGACGGGGTCGCTACCTTGACTAGCTTTTACGTCGTCCGCCTCCTTGATAGCATCCATAAAGTCGCGGCATATTCGGAAGATCGCTTCTAGACCCCCAGCGCGGTAAAATGCTACCAACAGTAATGTATGGAGAGAGCTTTGGGCAGTGCGGTCTACATCGCGATTGTTTAACAAGCAGTATGAAGAGGTACAGGAGCTCACTCACCATCCACTAGCAAAATAGTGACGAGACCAAGCATCACAGTGTAGTATGCGAAGGAGGCTAGTTTGTTCCCTGTAACGACGATCAGCCAATCCCCTGATTTCAAGTCAAGACACATACCCGACGGCTTAAGCCCGAGATGCTTGAGCATGACGTTTGCCACGATAGACGCAGCATCCGAAATGTGCTTTCTCTGCACTGGGTCAGGATTTCGCCTTGTGTAGAACATCTTGACGACGGCTGCAAGGCCAGCGATTCAGTCTCAACACATAGCGACAAACCACAACACCCACCTTGGAAAAGAGGGGACAATGAGCTTGGGATCTGCTTTACCAGATGGTGCAAGGCCTTAGCATTGTGATTTCTGGGACTGTCTTTGTGGAGCCCTTCCTTGGCAGGGCGAGCAGGTGAACCATCAGACTCGACCCGAGCACCATCCTGAGGCTGCACTCCGTTTGCCGTGGACGGCAATCCACCATCGTCCATGAGATCGGCAGGCCCGGACGGGCCTGGAGAACCCGTGTCCGAGGGCGGAGCTGAGGGGCTCGACGCAATGTCAACGCCTTTCGACGCAAGGCCGGTCTTGAAAATGATGTTCTCCCATACGCAAGCTCTATGTAGTGCCCCCAGGTCAGGCACAATCTCTGGAGCCCCTCTACCCATGAGAATCTGCAAGAAGCCGGCCGTGGCACGACTATGGGCGTAGCTCGCTGTCGCATAGACTTCCGACAATAAAGTGATCCGTGTGTGAAGAGTGACGAGGTTTCGGAACCGCCGATTTGCCTCCGGCTCTTCCTCAGCTGTAAGCGGAGAGTCAGTAAGTAGCCGTCCTGGAAAGAGCAATTACCGGGCAACACACAGGTTATATCCACTAATGGCAGTAGCTTTGAGTCCTCCTCCAATGACTCCCAGAACCCCTTGGTATCCGCAAGTGATTCCTTCACTTGTTTGGCCAGATACACTAGAGCTTCGTTGGGAGCGGTCTCCCCCATCGTGCGTATTACCTGAACTAAAGAATCAGATGAAACACTGTTTGCGAAGTCATAAGGCAGACACGGCAATGCGGTGAGACGAAGCAGCCGTTCCATGCCATCAGTTTGAGTAATAAAATCGCGACAGTGTGGTGTATGTTGAAACAGACCCTCCAGAAACTAAGAAAGAAAGAAGTTAGACAAATATAATTACATCTGAAGACATACATACCCTGCCCACTACGTCGATGTAATGCACGATAATGTTGTCGTGTGACTTAAGACTTCCATCTTCGGGGTTATTTGTGGAGCCTGGTAGCGGCGCGGATTGCGCATCCGACTGCACTGCGGAATGTACGGCCCCTTCCGCTTCAATGCCTTCCATAGGCGAGAGATCAATCGAGACAGACGACAGTCCGTACCAAGGCCGCAAGTCTTCGGGCACGACATAAGCATTGCCGAGGTCCTCAATTTTGCCTAACGTAGACTTGATAGCTTCAAATACAGGCGGCTTTAATGAAGGATGATGACGAATGAGCTCATCTATTGCAGAGCCTATGAGAACGGAATTTTCCTTGTCCTGCAAGACCTTCAAATGTCGTTCAGATGTGAAGACCGAGAACAGACCAGGGATGATCGTCGGTCTGGCGGAGAGCTGATCTTGCCCAGCTTGATTCAAGCATAGTGCTCCGATAGCATTAGGGATAGCTTGAATAACCTATGGCCCTGGTGAGAGATCAAAACATTTGGAGTTAGCTGCAATAATACGGACCTCAATCACGGGTTCTATTCCAGCTTCTATGGTCTTATAGAAAGTTTCCGGCAGCCCAGCTTCCTGGATGACAGCCAGAGAAGTCGGCTCATTGTGCACGAACGTGGACATAATGTTGATCGCTAAGGTAATCGTATAAGTGCTAGAGTTGATGTCTGTGTAGGTATCGCCGTACCAATGGGCAAGACACTGGGACCAAACAGGATCCGATTCTCGATAACTTTCTTGATAGATTTCAGGATAGAGGAATCTATGAGACCCCGCAGACCCTCGGCAGTACCTGATGACTGCATCATACGGTGCAGGGAGCGAAGTAGATGCTTCAAGACAGCTCCCCGAGCCACCGGTAATTGCCCTAAGACAAATTAACTAGAGTCTACCTTTACCGCACACAAATACTCACCGTAAGACTTCGTGATTTCTCGCGACGTTTCGCGATGGCCATACTCTGCCATATCGTAATCTATTTCATGCTGGTGGACATTGTAAGCAGTTGCCAGAAGTTCGATGGCAGTTGGCTCACTTCAATCCTGTCGACGAGAACCTCGACACCACGATTATTACAGAATAATTGGAAGGCGTTGCTGAACCCATACAGGACGTTGTCGACGAGTTGCATGGTCTTCGAGACGACAGGGAGGCGCTGGGGTAGCTTATTCTCAATAATCTGGATCAGCAGCGGAATTAAACCAGCCCCGACAACCATATTGCCACCAGCCGCATGAGATGCAATGAAAGTGACGAATGACAACAGTGCGTCAACAAACGCATGAGGAAGTGTCGAGTCCGGATTCGCAACATCATTCACCGTCTTACGCAGCAAAGCCATCAGGATCCCGTGATTGACCCCCGCGTTCACAGCAGCGAGTACCTCTTGGATCTTGTTTCGATAGCGCGCAATAGAATCCAGCGCTGATATAGCGGCCATCTGCACAGGCACTGGAACCCCTCTATCCAGTTGGAGTAGTTCGGCGATGTGGGTAATAATATCGAGCTCATACAGGAAGAGGGCCGCGCTAGCTTGGGATTCAGAGTGGGTGTGGCAGAAGATGGCAATAGCCAGCAACCGTGCGATCACTAGCTTCTCGCGATCGGCCTCCTGGCCAGCAGCGAGCACCTGGGCTGATCGGATTCGGCACAGGAGTTCGAACTTGTCATCGTCTGGCATAGCATAGGTCTCTGTTGCATCAGCTAGGATCTCCATGGCAGGCTTGGCATCCAGCGTTTCGTTGTCGAGATGTACATGAACGGCACCTGAGTTCGCAGTGCTCGTCGGAGCTACGTGAGCTTTCCGAGGTGTCTGTAGGGCAGGGAAGACATCCTTCTCCTTCTCTTTCGCTTTCTCGGAAGGGTCTTTCCTGTAGAAAGTGAAGTTCACCTCGCGGGCCTCCGACGGCAGTTCTTCCACTCGCGCTTTACCATTCGGGCTAACGAGGTCTACGAGACCAACATCGTATTCTCTCAGATTCGGCCAACGCTTAGCCAGGGATTGAAGGCGGGGAGTGGATATGTGCAGTGCTTGCGCCACAGATGGCTGAGCAGAGTATTGCTGCGCGGGGCGGAGGAGTAGATTCAGAGTCAGAATCAAAATGTCGAGGTCCGCGGTCGAGAGAAGACTGTTCAATCGCTACAATGGGGTCAGCAGGGGCAGCAACAGAATGCAGCACATATGGCACTCACATCATATGAACTGAATATCTTCCTGTTCGTCGAGTTCTCCAGCAGTAATCTCTCAAATCTCAAGATCTCGGAAGTTGTCTTCTTCGTCCTGGGAGTAAACATGTTGATCTGTACCTTGTCGATCTCATAATCTTTGATGACTTCTTCTAGGACACCGTCGAACTTGTTGAGTACTTTGACCCACGCATTGAGGTCGGAGCGCGGCCACTTCCAGCTGTCGATTTCTCCAAGGACCTCCGGAAGATCTTCGTCTGGTGTATCATGGATCTTGTTGATGAGTTCAGCGACTTGCGGATGCTTACGAGTAGCCAGCCGAAGTCAGACAGGATGAGAAGGAGAATGGGACACAACAAACGTACCGGAGGCACCGCTCTCCTTGACTTGTGCTGGATCTTCATCTTCGCCCCAGCGACAGAGTCGAGGACAAAGATGCTGGAAAATTTCTCCTGCAGTCAACAGCTCAGGATAAGAGCGCGGACTTAGTAGGAGCAGCGGAAAGAGCGATGCTGACGCGGTGTCTGCGCGTCGCAATAGTAATTTTAGATAGGCCTTGCTTCCCACGAATACAAATGCATTCTCACGGATAGGGTACAATGACATCACGCGTCGCGTCCTTCCGAGAACCGTTAACAGGACGCGCGCGTCCGACTCGTCGACAACCACGACCCGCCACAATCATGGCTAAACGCAAAGTAGCCTCACCTAGCGAGGATGAAAACGAACAGGAGTACTCCAAAAGCGAAAGTAGCTCTGAGGAGGAGGCGAAGCCGCTAGCCAAGAGGGCTAAACCTAGCAAAGTACGTGCCCTGAAGCCGGATCCTTGTCGGGGTTGCAGTCTCACATGTCTTTCCCCGCTATTAGTATGCCCCCGCGAGGAAATGCAAGAAAGCGGATCCTGAGTCCTCGGGAGGACAGGATGATGATGAGGGGGATGAAGTTCAAGTTCACATGACTAAAGACGGTGAACAGTATGTGGACCTCGGGAAGAAGAAACGCGCCACAGTGAGATCTTTCAAAGGTACGATCTTCCATCCTTCAGGGATAGAGAAGAGCACAACTTAGTCTCCGCAGGTCAAGTTTATGTTGATATCAGAGAGTTCTACGGGGAGGATGGAGATGAGAAACCCGGAAAAAAGGGCGTCTCCTTGAATCTTGAGCAGGTGCGTCCTAATTCTGTTCGCATTGACGAATTGGACGTGAAGCTGGATTTCGCAGTGGGAGACTCTGAAGAAGAGCATTGAGACCATCGATCGCTTATCCCGACAACAACCATCAAAGCGCAAAAAGTGACTAGCGAAGTTCATGTCATGCTGTGTGCCCTTCTATGCGCTTGCAATGCTTTCGTACCTCGCTCTCTTTCCATCAATTCAATGTTGTATATTTGTACCAATACTGGATCTATCGGTGCCTATTCTTGCGGCACACGATATATCATGCGAGTCCCGCAGCCGCTCTATATGCCCCCTCTAAACCTCTGGATCTTAGCCCTCTCAGCCACGCTGTGATTTTTATCAGCTGTGCCTTCCAGTCCATCGCCCATTCGACGACTGCAAAACTCGTTCGGAGCTTCTCATACCGCCTGTAGACGGTATATGCGCGGGTCGTGAGCCGTCGCGCAAGAAAAACTACAGCAGGATACATACCACCAGCAGGCGAAGTACTCCCACAGGAGGCCAATAGAAACGAGCCCCCTTTCCCGCATTTCATCCACGAGCCGTGTACGATCATCTTGCCAGACCGCTCTTGCACAATATTTTGCCATGATGAGGAAGACCCGTATCTGTCAACATTCAGTGATGTAGCTCAGTCCTACAAAACTGAACAAATGTCTCACATTTGAGTGCGTAGTCATTAGTGCATGGTCGAGGTTTCTTAACAAATCCATGTGGTCTCGATTAAATTTCGTCTTATGTTATATAAGTTTAAGGTCGTACCTCGTCAGGTCATTCAGTTTAAGAACCATGAGCACTCTCCTAGGCACGCGGCGCAAGACATCGAAGACAGACAATAGGATCCCTTCGTTGTTGATGACAGCCTCACGGATCGCATCCATTTCCTCTTCACTGGGAGGACTGATGTCGAGCATACTCGAAGCCCTCTTAAACGCGTTCTGTTCCTTTCCCGCGTCTCTTTCGTCCTGCCCTTTCAATGTGGCCCGTCCTGAAGAAGCGTTAGCACCAGTCCCTTGCTCCGCACTTGAGGAGATAGAACGTTCACGATGCCTGCAGCCACTTCATGCAGATCTCTATCTGAATCTGCCCGCAGTCACCTTAAATAGGACTACCCGCGCAATTCAGTCCAATTAACGCGGTATTTCACCGGTTCAACCGGGACGAAATGGTTCCATATTAACAAAAGAATGGAGCTCACCCGTGATAGCAGCCTCGAAGACGGGATACTGCCCACAATGCGTCAGTAACTTGCGCATTGAGATAGTACGTGAGTCCACTAACCAGGTCAGGTCCAATATTGCCAAATAACTGGGCATACTGTCGCCGTTCAGCGATAGTCTCTGGCGAAGCCGACTTTATCAAGGACAACCAGAACTTGCTGTAGTTTATCCGCAAAGCTGTATCGAGGTCGAAGTACAGCCCATGATCAAGCAAGACAATCTCGAAATTATACGGTGATTTCGACGATAGCGGCGCCGGGCGGATGAGCAGGTTACCTGCGTATTGCGGTCAGTTTTCGCATACCAGGGTATACGTGCAGGTAATCTAGAGTTCTGTACCAGGGTGGGGATCCTGTAACACTTCAGCATGTGGTACCCAAGTATAAGCAAGGCCACGTACTGCATGGAACCAGCCATTGATGTGCACCATCTGCGCAAAGATTCGTGCAAGCTCCAAGGACACCTTGTTGCGGTCAATATTATTATCTGCGAGGTAGGTTAAGTCGTCCACGCGGCCTCCTTGAATATATTCCATGATGAGCACTCGCTTCTTCGCTGTCATAACCTTTGGTATGTAGAGAGACGTCCGGATGTCCTCGAAATCTTTCTCCACACGCGCGGCGTTCTTTGCTTCTATCGTGAAGTCCATCTCTTTTGGCAGATTCTCCCGCATCTCCTCGCCGAGCCAGGTAAATTCGAATTCTGGGAACCACGACTTTATCCAGCCTACAGAGTATAAGGGCAATGCCGAGAGACCAATACCAAACCTGGACACACCGAGAGCAACCTCCACCATATTCATGTCCACGTCACAGAACTCGGCGAGATGTGGGTGTTGTAGCTGATGACCTGCTTTGGCGACCCGCAGATAAATCGAAATGTATTGAACGAACCTTGACAGCAACGCGTCTCCCAGATTCCTTGTCACGACCCACATGTACCTGCGCTAGGCTCGCAACGCCAATGGGCTTGGGGTCGAATTCGTCAAATATATCCTCAATAGTTTGACCCATGTCCGATAGGAACAGCTTTTCAAGATCATCATATGGCGTTGGTTCACATTGATCTTGGAGGGGCCTCATGGTACCCGTCCATTCCACTGGCAGGACAACTCTACCACCGGTCAGACATGGTAGAAACTCTCGAGGTGTCACTCACAATGAAGACATGTGCTGGCCAAGCTTTATGAATATGCCTTCGGACCCAGCTCAACCTTAGCCACGGGCAAGGAAGACAACTCCTCTCACCTCCATTGGCAAGCAGTGCTCTGAGGACTCGGTGTGCACTCCGCCTATGGCACTTTGAATATGCATCCCGCTTAGCCTCCTCTGAGGTGTAGTTACTCGCGAATGTCCATTTGTAATCAATAATCCCGCGAATAGCAGCATCTGTGGGATATTGACTAGTACCGCATGGCACCCCCATATGAGAACATACTGACAGGCAACCCTGGAGCATCGTACAACAGCTAGGACGGAATGCCGGAACGGTTTATTCGTCTGGTACGCAACAGCACCCACCCCTCCCAAGCCCAGGGCGGCGTAGAGGACCCATGGATGCTTTCGTGCAACACTTCTATCGTACGACCGTGACGATCCCTTAGCGTGAGAGGCCTCCGAGGATGAGAATTGCCGTCTCTTGTTTTGTGGCCTCGCTGGAAGGTTGGCTGACCTGATACCGTCAGCGCGACGACAGACAAAGCGAGAAGGTTGCCGTCTGCAGCGAGATAGCATGGCCAGGTGCTGGTTGCAGATACATTCGCGAGCCGGCATTATCCGCTCTCCGAGGTCAGGATCTCGGGGGAGGAATGACGTACGAGCAATCAATATTCTGGTGCCAGTCGGCAGAAAAAGTCGCGGAGACTGACTCTGAGAGGTGGGCCATCGTGTATCCAATGAGCGATGAGCCGCAACTACATATTGTAACCGTACAAAGCAAGACAGCGGTACAGACTGCAAGTCTGATGGGGGGATGCGAAACATAAGCAAAGAGAGGGGCAGGCTAGGGCAGACTAGTATTCCCGCTACCTCGTTTACTCATGATAGAGAGACGGTGGGAGGATAAGGCATCCTCGTTCTGATGCATTGCCTCGGCGTAACTAGAGCCTCATTAGTTCTCACTCACGACTAAGAGACCCGTGAAGCTTACAGCAATTTATAACGGACAAGTTCGCCTTCTATTTCCTCGTTTTTTAGCCGCGCCATGACAAGCTGATTCTATCATGATACCCAAGAATTAAGACATTGCGTAGGACACGGTCCGGATAGAGCTTACCAGGACTTCAACATGTTCCGTGTTCAGCTGTGCTAAGCTGGATTCCAAAGTTTTGCTACCGCATTCCAAGATTAGATTGAAATTTAATGCAAAGGATAAAGAAAACTTACACTTGCGCTGAAAGATTACGGTTGCTATTCCGCAGGGCATCCAGCTCCAGGGCATGAGCATCACGGGCACGACACATATCTTCGTACTCATGAGCATACGCATCTAACATGAACGGGGTGATCTTCAGGGACACGGCATCCTGAACAAATTCATCCGCTCGGTACTTTGGAATCTTCTTCGCCTCGCGTTCCGGGGAGCTGGCATCGTCGTGGACCTAGGGAAGTCGAAGTCATTATCAGACGTAGTAGACACAGAGAAAACATACCGACCTGGTAGCGTTCGAATACTTTGTTGTTCAGAAATGCGAGGATCTCGTCGAATTTCAGAGATAGTAGCCTTTCCTCATTCTTTGCCAGAAGGCATAGACTGAAACCGAAGATGGATTCGATGCCGCTCGCTAGGCAGTTGTCAAATATTCGAAACACGATGTCCAAGGGGAACCTAGTCTTGTCTAAGCGACTCGAGCACTGCAACTCAAACCGAGACACCTACCGATAACTGAACAACGTCAGAAACCACTGTGAGCAAAACATGCTGGACTTGATCCCTTGTCGAAGGAAGTGCACATGAAGTACAGGCAACATCTCCTCTATCAGACGATCAAACTGTACAATGTCACCCATTGTCTCCGCATGCCTGGCATTGATGATATGTATCCTACCTGGAACTGCATATGAAAAGATCAACCTTGCTTCTATCAACAACGCCGTCACTGCCGGGCCTTACCAGACGGAGTTGCAACTTGGGCATTTCCGGTAGGAAATGACCACGCAGGTCGTAGGAGTACATGAGCCGTACGAGAAGGCAGAAGGCTTCTTCATCCGGCATCTGTCGCGGGTGTAAAGTATTGCAGGAGGAAAACGACAAGTACCCCTACATTCAGGAGGAGAATAGCCACGACGAACGGTAGCCCTTGGCAGTACCCGACTTGGGGGTCATACCTCCGACATTTCATCAGGAACGAGTCAGCATCGGACCGCCGGGACTCACAGGGAGTACGCCTTCAAGACATTGAAAAGATTCTCCTGCCCAATCCCTTGTCCGTCCGTGAAAAATTCATGGTGAGGAAATGTTCTGCGCATGTTTCATCTTGGTGAATATGCCGTACTAGAGTGCTCTCTGAACGAACTACCTGCCCAAATCTCGCGAGATGGCCTTCTCGTGAGGACTGCTCTCCTTCAAGAGTTTCAGGTACGTCTCTTCTAATCCTGGGTCCTTTGAGGCGGACCTGAGGAGATATAAGCACGCGAAATGTCATGCGCTGAATAGCATTACATTAGTTGCCAGACCATACCCCTCAATGTACTCGGAATGCCTTTTTCAATGGCAGCAGCCAACTGATCCGGGTGTTCAGAAGCAAATCTCTGATAGTCTAGCGGGAAAGTTCATATCATGGTTGCCTTCCGCTCAAATGCAACATACCCGACACAACCTCGCCCCAGAAGTCTTCGTTATCTGTGTTTCAGTGACCCGACAGAATTGTCTAGGGATAACATACCCCAGTCGATAGCCTCCTCCGCTTTCTGCTTCTCCGCCTCCTGCTGCCGCTGTAGCTGCAATCGATTGAAGTCCTCTTGTAGTTTCTGTTGACCCTCAATACTGATGCGTTTAGCAGCTGAGTTATCTTCTTCTTTAATCCGCTTGAAGTCTAAGCTCGACCGCAAGATAGAGCGGCTGGATGCGTCCGAGGCAGACTTCTTGTGAAGAGTTTGATTGACCAAAGTAGACGACTCAGATGGTGCGAGTGCGGCAGTATTTCTTCGTTCATCCATACCCATAGCAGGGATAGACTCCACCGACCTCAGTGTCTGAACACTGGATCGCGTACTGAGAGGGACGGTGGAGAACCGGGTTTCGTCGTCCAATCCTACATCGTTAAACTCGGAATCTGCAACAGAGTTTCGAGCAGACGGTGGCACTGGTTGTGAACTTTCCCTGGGAGACAACAGAGCATCCAGAGCATCTGTAGATGAGCCCGAGGTCACGATAGTACCAGAGTTGTCCTCGTTTGCCTCAGGAACTTCATTACCTGCCTGGTCGCTTCCCGACATACCAGACACCGACGGTCGACGAGAGTCGTGTGTATAAGCTCACAGAGACTACAAGCACACAGAGAAATGTAAAGGTTCGGGGAGACCTTGAGCCCCGGTGTTGCCTCAACGACCCAAGGATTGTATTCCAGGGACAGCACGTGCGGCGACCCTGAGGCGTCCCATCTTCTCCGGCGTCCGAACCGCATCCGAGCCTCTCTGTAACGAGCAGCCACTTCGTGTCCAGTTCCAATCAGCGCCATGTCGGACAAAGACATGCAGGAGATTGACCAACTGGTGGACGAGTGGGAAGAGGACGACGACGACCCAAATGTCTTCAAAGTGAGAGGCGCGCTAGACGTTGCGCAGGGGAGTATGCTCTCTACCCAAGAACTTCACAGTGAGTCCAGTAGTTGGAAGCTGGCCGTTCGTCTTCAGTGATTTCGAATATGCAGGGCTTATCCACGAGGGTCAGATCGACCTGTGTCCGGATTATCAGCGAGGTCTGTGGTTCGGCCATTTGATTGTTGATTAATGCCTGACTGCCACAAAGACGTGGTATGGCCCGAAAGCAAGCAAATCCGCCTCATTGATTCACTATTTCGTAACTTCTATATACCTCCCATCGTCTTTGCTGTTCAACCGGATGAAGATGGAGAGCTGGTGCGGATATGCGTCGACGGGAAGCAACGCTTAACGTCTATCCAAAAATTCTTCGATGGCCAGGTGTGCCACTCGTCTGTGCATCTCGAAGACTTTCACTAAACCGAATATGCAGATACCTCGTATGCTTATCCCCTTATTCAAGTATTACAGGTGCCTTACGTCCCATGCCAGATAGAGATCCTGTGACGGGCAAGAACTGGTATTATACCTCACCTGAGAACCTGAAGAGCAATAGATTGGAAGTTCCGGACTATTGGAAAAGGGTCTTTGCCCAGAAGCAAATCATTTGTGGTGAGCCTGCTCCCTTCCATCCATGCATCACAGCTATTGAAGCAGCAGCAGCGGAATACCGCAACCTCACCCCGGCTATGGAGCGTGAAATCTTCCAGAGGGTTCAATTAGGCATGGCTCTAACCGCTGCAGGTGAGTTTTGTTGACGCCACCTGAGTTTCGTTTCTCATCGGCGGTTGTAGAGAAACTACAAGCAATCTCTTCTCCTTGGGGCTCATGGATCTCCCAGCTGCAGACAAAGTGGGTTGTCCCAGAAACTGGTTTGGGCGGTGTCTTGGACTGGGACATCAAGCGGGGAAGGGATTTCCAGAATTTGGCATCCATGATCTACATCTGCGACAACCTACCTGGTCATACAGTACCGACACCACAGAAGCTTGAGCCTTGGCTAGATAACCACAAACCACCCCCGCAGTCATTCAAGGAACAGATCGAAGATGTCCTGACAGAGATGTGGTACATTGCTAGTACACCATCACTTTCGTACTGTTTCCAAAAGCCAAAGTCACGAGTTGCACCTGTCGAGTTCGTATTTATCGGTACGTCCTTCATGCACGTTACATCTGGGATAACCATCGGTTAAGCGCATCCTGCAGGGGTCCTTCTATTCCTAATGCGTCATGCTTCTCATGAGGAGCGCGCCAACCAAATCTTCGACCTCAGAAAGTTCGTACGTGACAGATTTCCGGACATCCGCAACAATGGCAAGGTCGTTAGAGCGCTCTGGGAATTCCTGGACCGGACTCTCGAAGATCCGGGCAGGCCGTCTAAGAGCAACGCCGTACCAAGGACACGAGGACGGGCAGCGTCGGGATCAAAGAAACGCAAGCAGGATAACGGTTCAGACGATGACGACTCCGATGAATATGCTGCGTACAGGCAATCACGGGGCACCCAGAAGGCGCGCCGTGGAAGAAGATGATTTCAGCTGGCCCCGACAGGCTACCATGCAATTGGCTCTTCATTGTGGATTAGGCTGGGTCTTCTCGTTCGACTCTGTAGCAGCTGTAAATTCTGATATTGTACACAACGTCGTAATGTCAGTAGCGTATCTTGTCGTGAAGGTCGTTATCGTCCCTTCGTGCAAAGCAGTTTATTTACACGCGAGTCGCCAAGACAGCTCAGGCCGGAGAGTCGCAGATGGTCAGATATGGTGCAACAAGACCTGTTGTGCATGTCAACTGGGTATCGACGTCCAAATGGAAGCAGAGTCTTCACCGTGTAGGAATAGTCGCCCTCGCTGCGAGTCATGAGCAACCGAGGTGGAACCAGTGGCAAGGGCGCCATCGTCCTCAAATACCTACGGGACGGCTTGCGTCAGATTCCCAGTAACAGTTAAAGGCAGACCCCACCTTCTCGAGACGATATTTCCGTCCGGAGTCTCCTCGCGTAACACGGAGAGCGGACGAAGGAGCTCTCAGTGAAGGGTCGGCGAATGTCTCCAATGTTCGCAGAGGCTGTACGAGACCTGAGGAGCAAGCAAATCAGTGAAACAAAATGACGAGACGCATAGCCTTCTTACCAGCCGCCCATAATGCGCCACTCTGATCGACAGCAACATTATCGATGAGGCGATCTATGGTTCCATGGATATCAACGCGGGGAAAGCGGGCGGAAAGTTGAAGTACTGACCGGTGTGAATGACATCTTTGACCAGCAGCGTGTCATCCGCCCGCCTCTCTAGTACGTGTATTTGTGGTTTCCCGCTGCTTCCGACATAGAACGTATCATTTGCGGCTCTGGCGATGCCATTCGAGGCCGGGAGCCCGGTGGCCGCGTACTTGCAGCCTCTTTGTATTTCACAGAAACCCACAGATGATCGTGGCCAGCCGAGATAGAACTCCAACTCTCGTAACTGCACCATGCACATGAGTGTCCCATGCATGCTGCTTCAAGATTTTCATACCAATCCAATCTTCGACCCGTGGTCATTGGTGAACCAGAAAGATCGGCCCGTCGGTGAACCTACGACATCGTTGGGCGTTTGTATAACAGGGTCGTCAAATGACTCGATATGAGTTAGGATGGACGACCCGATTGATGTCTTGAATATCTCGATTGAAGAGTTGGCACCGTGGACTTTGGGGTCAACACCGTGCCTTGGCCGTCGATGATTGACCAAGTACACGAACAGGTCGTTCGGATTTGATGAAGACGGCACAACGTCCATTCCGTGTACAGAGAGATCACGGCTCGAATCGTACCCTCTTAATTGCAGGCGAGTGACCTTGGAAGTTTCGGGGTCATATAGTGCGACATGGTCATCCCGCGACATGCCACTGGCATTCAGATGTGAGAGCGCAGGTGTCCATTGTGTCCGGCTTGATGGAGTGGAACACGCTAGGTATAGGAGTCCCGTCGGTTGATGTATCACAATTTCTGTATATATGAGCAAGTTCACTACTCCGATCGCTCTGCGGAGGGTTGGTACTCACTCTCACAGGCCTGTAACTCAGCCTCTGCTCGGCATCCTATGTTGCCCCGTTGCTCGACGACACGGCCAAAACCAACGGCTTTCAATACGGGACCTAGCTGCACGTAATAAAAGATGCCCAGTAACGCGACCGCGGTCGCTGTAAGGAGGATCGTATCGGACCTCATGGACACGACTGCTCACAAGAAAAGGACCTCCCGAATTGCTTCTGTCTTCCTCTTATTTATGGGCCGTTTGCTAGCCGTCCGATACAGGGGGATCCGCACAGAAACGCGGAGAACCGACTCTCAACGTGACAGTCGCTTACAAAGAGGCGACCAAGCACGGTATGGCGCCCCACGGGGTGCGAAAGAAGCGCAATTGCTAACGACCGCGGAGGAGGGGTGTGTGGTTCTTTTTGTCGCTTCCCTACCGAGTCCGATATAGCTTGCACCAGACAGGCAATCCGGTCATCCTAGATGGCATGCTACGGTGTTAGATCCACCCTTCCGCCTCGCCTCCCGCGCAAATCATACCTGCGTGGAATTGATTGAGGCACAGGAGGGAAGGCTGCCCTCGGGACCGTCCAAGGAGTAGCGCCGAGGATGACACCAGCATCCCATGTGACTGACTAATCCAGCCCCGATCTCCCAATGTATATGACGCGAAGGCGAGATGCATGTCTCCTATACCATAGCATGGAAAAGAGGTTTTAGAAAATACAAATGTCAAAAGTAACTACAGCATGCCGGAAGTCTAATATGCCTTCTTGCCCGCGGTAAGCTGAAGGTGAGCACTGTGCTCGTCGTAAGGCACCTTGGACAAGGGGATCTCTCTCCACAAGTCAGGCGTAAGGAAGGAGTATGTTTTAGTGATCTGCACAAGCAGTGAATATAGGCGAGACGCGCAGCAACCATGAAAAGCTTACAGCGGTGAAAGTAGCCTTCAAGAAGTTACCCATTGTGGCAGTTGAGCCCTTCGATGACGTGTACACGTCCTCAACACCCGCGAGCTGAAGCAGGCGCTTCGAGGCAGGAGCAGCGACGATACCCGTACCACGCGGCGCAGGGATGAGACGGCACATGACGGAACCACTCTTGCCACTGACTTTGGAGGGCACGGTATGGGGCTCACCGAGCTTAGCACCCCAGTAGCCTCTCCGGACGGGAACGACGGACAGCTTGGCGAGAATGATGGCACCACGGATAGCAGTTGCGACTTCCTTCGCGCACTTGACACCCAATCCGACATGACCGTCAAAGTCACCAATGGCGACGAACGCCTTAAAACGGGTACGCTGACCGGCACGGGTCTGCTTCTGGACGGGCATGATCTTCATGACCTCATCCTTGAGCTTGGGCAAGAAGAAGTCGACAATCTGATATTCCTTGACGGGGAGAGAGAAGAGGTAGATCTCTTCCATGGACTTGATCTTGCCGTCCTTCACGAGCCGACCCAGCTTAGTAACGGGGACCCTGCAGTCTATGAGGGGAGCCGTCCAGCATACAAAACACGATACACATACCACTCCTTCTCCTCATCCTTGCGACCGCCGCGGCGGGGTCCACGGCGACCTCTGCCCCGGTCACCACCACGTCCGCGTCCGAATCCGCCACGTCCGCGTCCTGCGTCAGCCATTGAGAGTCCCGAGGTAGTTACTGGAACGAAACATGAGTCAGCAGTTAATACCAAGGGGCAGTCTGCCATCCATCGCGCTCCCATGCCATCCAAGTACTATCTCAGCCATCCATCCTCTGCAACTCCATCCCGACCTCTGAAACTTCTCTCAGACAGCAACAGGCACTCTCTGCAACGATAGCAATGTGCTGAAGATTCGAAATGTACTCACGTCTTGAGGTACGGAAGGGGTATGCGTCGGGTTGCTGTGAGGCTTGATGATACGAGGTTACGGGGAATGCCGAGCCGGGATTGACTCCGGACCTCCTCCGAATCGCCGATGTGGCGAGTCACGGTGTGGCTCTGCGGCGGCAGGTCCTAGTCCTTCCACCGCTGCCGGTACCAGGGCTACTGTAGATCATCATGAACTTGTTTCGAGAATAAATTATCTCTCTGATTCCCAGAGCCAACTCGTGGTTGTAGCGTATGTCCGACAGTCCGAAGGCTATAAACAGCCTTGGAGTGCGGTGGCAGAGAAAGCAACGCCACCCGGAATTATGTAAGGCTGTGCCGGGAAATATAAGGAGGTGGTCGCGGAGGTTTCTGAGCACCAATCGCTGACCGAACGCCGTCGCCTCGTGTTATCGCGCACCTTTCTTTGTGAGTAGTGGGCCTTCATTCTACCCTGTTTACATGATTCATTCACTGATTCTCGTTCCTTACAGGCCTCGCATTTGCCCGCACTCGCAACGAAGTTGGCACCTCATGTCGAATTTTATTATGACAAATTGTACCAAACTGCAATCTAGTCTTTGCCCCACGTACGTGAAAACTACCTCTTCTCCTAGTACTTGTGATGCTGATACTTCGCTTCAGCAACGGTCGTCAAGCCGTTGGGGATGGGGCTCTCTCTTTTGACGCTGCGCCTAGTGTTCTCGCTGTCTGCCACATGCAGGGCAACGATGATCTCTACTATTACTCCACTACGTTCTCTGGCGGACCCGGGGTATGTGAATAGTGATTGTTTAATGTGGCATAAACACTAACTCTATTGTGGCTGAAGTGGCGTTTTTGACACCCCTAACGAGAAATGCCCTCCTGATCGAGGGTCGTCGGACTGGGTGACAGACAGTTCGGCGCGCATCTTCTCCTCTTCTCCAGTTTCCGACCGATCATCCATGCTCAGTCTCTCCGAACCTGACTACTTCCCTAAATCCATCGTCTATCCGCCTACTCCTCCGCCTGAGGACGTCCATACCACACTCGACTCCGTTTCGCTTGTCCCTGGAGCTGTAGTTGCATCGCCTCAAGCAATCCGTGGCAGATCTCGAGCCCCTGCTCAAGACCTGATAACGCCTCCCTTGACTCCAGACGATGGAGACGATGGGGATGGAAGCGTCTCCGCGATCAGCGCTAAACAGTCGAATGCCGCCCTCGATTTTCTGACTGCTCTTTTCCCTCGCAATGGTCTTAGTGCTTTGCCCTACGCCAAGAGTGTTTCAATCTCTGCTCCCAACATGGCCGGTGCCTTTGAGGGCGTCGTGCTAGAATTACCAGGCAAACCCAAGACTATCTATGTTAACGGCAAAAACGCCGATAGTGTTAACTTGAGGGAAAGGTAGGCCTCTTACACTCATTCCAAGGCGTCATAGCGCACGCTCACGTGTTTTATAGCATCGTCGTTCTTCTAGAGTTGGCCGATGAACAACTGCAGTGTTCCGCACTCGTCATCGCTCTTGAGCGGTCTTCCCCTGCTTTGGGAGACCTCTTACATGCTTTGATGTACGTGGGTGGCACCGTTGTGACTAAAGCTCCTTTCCAGGTTGACCCGGCGTACGTGCTTGTGGGCATGGAGATATGAGTATTTTGCTAGGCGTAATGCGTACGATCGGGTCAGATACTTTTTTTACGTGACTCTTTGCTGAGTGGTTTGGTTGGTCGGTTAACATGTATGTAGCACCTGTATTTCTTGATTGATTTCTTTATGCAGCAATGCGTGTACGATGTTCAGGATTCGTCATTGCTTCATTACATCTTCTGTGAACCCCACGTTGTTCGAGCATCTTTGTTCTGGCTGAAGAGTGGGATGCAGCTGTATCAACTCATGTCCTCGGCGATGCTCGACAGCAGGCCCGGTCATATAAAGGGCAGAATGTAATCTGACAGATAGCAAAGTAAATCGAGGTCGCCGACGCCGACAACAGTCCGCAAACCTCCTGTCCCGGCCGTCATCCTCTATGTCTTTCCTGAGTCAGATCTTCGGTGCTGTAGTCAGGTTACTATGCGGCGGCCAGCAGCAGCAGCCTGAGGAGCAGCCTACTGTGCAACAGCCTGTTCCTAAACCACCCAGTCCACACCGTCCTCAGCAAGGACGACCCCCGGTACATGAGAAGCCCCCGTCGCCTCCCCGTCCGCACGGGCATGTGGTACGTGACTTATGGCTCATCATTATAGCAAGAGTTGGGGCCGTTGACGTGTCATTCAGAATCAGAACCAAATCAACCAGCAGAATGACCATTATGTGAGATTGCGAGAGCGTGCTCGGGAAGAGGGCGCCCAGATGGCGAAGTGTTTCCAAGAGAGCAAAGCGGCTTACGCTCGAGGCGATGGGGCACTTGCTAAGGAATTATCTGTGAAAGGACACCGTCATGAGGAAGAAATGGAACGTCTAAATGCTGAAGCAAGCAAATGGATCTTTGTCGGTAAGTCTGAAAGTCCATACCATATGGTCCTGACCCCGCCTTGCCTGCACGGTAGAGAACAATAAGGTGAATATAGATCGCGTCCCTTGGTAATGGTGGACTTACGGGTTGCGCCAATTAGGACAGTCAACTGGGTGAACTGGACTTGCATGGATTGTACGTGAAGGAGGCCATCTCGTACACAGATCAAGCCATACAAGAGGCCCGGCAACGAGGTGATTCCGAAATAAGGCTCATCGTCGGTCCGTGTCGTCTGCCTCATCTCGTGCGACCACAGTATACTTAGGTCCTATTGTCCAGGGAAGGGACTGCACTCGCCGCATGGCCTTGCCAAATTAGAGCCAGCCATAAAGGATCTAATGCAGAAGTACGTTTTGCTCTGTGCCATTTATGCCGCTACTGATTTGCAAAATTGCAGACATGGATTGGTCGCAGAATTAGACCCACAGAATTCCGGTGTGCTTATAGTCGACCTTGACGGGCAAAAGAAAGGCAGGGGACCTGTCCTTGGCCCAGACGAAATTGTAGGAAGGTTGAAGTCCCACAACGAGGGAACTGGATGCCTCATCATGTAGATGGTATGTATAACAGGACCATGTTCCCTCGTTGTGAGGATCAATCTATCGTGTCATGTATTATGACTCTACAGACAGCATCGTTGTAACATGCCCACGTTGGTGGGCGTACAAAGACGTAATGTGATGCATTTCTGCTGATCCGTCGAGCTGAGAATACGGTCCCGCTGTCTCTTCTAGCATTCTGCTATGCATCTAAGGAATACGATATGCGCTTCTTGAGTAGCAGGCACCATCTGCACGAGAAGACCTTACCGAACCAGAGCGCACCCCATACGGTGAGCGTGTGATGGGCAGACTGACGAACTCAAGAAGGTCTATATAACAACAGGTCCTATGCCGTCGAAGTCGGACTCGCGCTACAAGTGTACGTGACATTATCTTCATGGTTGAGCGCCGACCAGCGTTGAAACGTCCGGGTCGTATCCAGCGGTTATATCGAGAAAGGATCAACTAGTGTAACACCTGCTTGGAGAAACTCACTGTGGATAGTAAATCTTTCCTTGGCCCCAGTCGTCTTCTCGGTTCATCTGAATGTGTACTAGATGAGCTTCCATCAAGTCTTCAACTTCAACGACACGCTGGCTGTCAAGCAAGAGAAGTATCGCCTGGTCACCAACATCACGCAGCACATGAGAGACATATCTCCAGTTTCTGGTGCTTACTTCGTATGTGGGAGTGATCACGTCATCTTCGTAGACCAGTACTTATAGCCTCTGCACAGAACGAAGGCGATGTCTATGAACCAAATCACACGAGTACGCCCGGTACGGGTTTCCGGTATTTGTGTTCTGACTATGTGTTTAGCGTCTTACTGGGGTCCCAATTATCCTCGGCTCCTGGAGATCAAGGACAAATGGTAAGCGTCCAGTCATCCCAGGTTGTGACTGATCTGTGTCCTGACTAGTACTCCTCACATGATTCAAATACCAGGTATCCACAACATTTGCTAGATTGCTGGCAGTGCGGTAAGCATGCATATTTCTTTAGGTCGGATAAACTCAATTATCTGCCGTAGTTGGTTGACGCGGACCGCAGGATAGTAGATACGACTGCTACGTCTGAAGATCCGACCGCTAGCGTTGGCGCCTAGGGCGACAAACAAGGGAGGGGGATAGCGGTGGTATAAACTTCCGTGAACTTTTGCTCGACGTTCCCTGTGACAGCGCCGTGACTTCCGGGTCCTTATGTCCACACCCGTCCAATTTCCATAAATACATATCGATATTCTGCATATGTGGATACAACCAGCTTCACCAGGAAGAATGCCAGGATTGCCAAAACCCATACTCAAGTCCAAAACTTACTACCGAGTAAAGATTGCATGACAACATGATAGCATGAAAGCGCATGGACAAACGACTGAAAATTTATCAGAAAACGCGACACCAACAAGACCATTCTTGCAGTAACCTAGAGAAACCGTCACATCAGCAATCTCCCCATACTGGCCGTAAGCTTGTCCATGATCCGGTTCGCAGCCGGAAACTTGCTGACGCCGCAGCTCTCGCTCTCGACATGCTGCACCAAGCCCGATAAGGTCCTAGTCTCCGTCCGACAGTGCGGACATCTATAGATCTTGGCCTCGTGCGCAGGGGAGTTGAGGTGCTGATTCAAGGCGGCCAACGTTGAGAACCCGCGAGAGCAAAAGTAACATTCGTAGTAGGATCCATTCCAAGCTGCAGCGGTGGCCATGGTAGAGCGAACAGTCGGGCCTATGTCCGAGGGACCTGTGATGAGGCGCTTCGTGACGATGTGCTGTCTATCGATAGAACGAACGTAGGCGTTGACCTGCGACCTCGTTATGCCTGAGGCGCAGGTAGCGGACTCGAGATGGAGAGTAAGGGCTGCAATGGACGGAAACGCCTTCGGACACCACTTGCATTGAACACCTCGCCCGACATGGGTCGAAGACTTCAGGTGCTGTGGATCGGTCAGTCTACATCTGTAGAAACGAAGGCAAAGAACGTATACCATTCTGAGATTGTTATCATTCGCGAAGTGCTTGTCGCAGTCTGCGCAATAGAAATGGGCGGGGCTCTGACGATAATGTTCCCGCAGACCGTACTGATTCTTGAAGAACTCGTCACAGTCATCGCAATACCAATGCGTCCTGTCGATATGATCCCTCAGCTCATACTCCTCGTCAAAATCCTCCCCGCATCCTCTGCAGTAGTTGTGAGCGCCGCTATTGACACGGTGACTGAGGAGAGCGGTAGGAGAACTGAAATGACGGTCACATTTCCGGCACCAATTGTGTCTCGAGTTATGCTCATAGTGGTCCTCCAGAGCATTCCAAGAGCTGAAATACCGGTCACAGGGTTCGCACCAGGCCATGTTGCTCTGTCTGCAGGTCTTGGGCTTGACCGGAAGAGAGAGGAAGAAGGCCAGTGACGCGTCCCCCCTTTGTAGATATACTACAAGGAGACAAAAACAGTGACTTGTTACAGTAATATGTAGGGCGGAGCCGAGCCACAGATAATGACGTTGTCGGAGATTGAATATTGAATACATATCACAATATTAAACAATCCAATTATTATTATCCTCAGCTCACAATGATGGCTCGGCTGGCTTCCTCTGCACGTTCCGCCCGGTGCTGGAGGGGGACACTCGCAACTGTGCGGTTTTCTTCGTCTAGTTCCAATCCTCTGCCGTTTCCAAATCATCCGAATCCAACCGCACACCAGATTTTCCATTTACCTGCGAGTGCATCGCAGGCAGACATCAAGGCCAGATGTACGTTTTCTATTAGCTTTTGCTGCTCATGAATGTAAATCCTAAGAACTGCCAGACTATGAACTGGTGCGGCTCTATCATCCTGATTCCCCTATCTCCCGAACCGTTAGCCCCGAGTCGGCGCAAGCACGGTTTCACGCCATCTCTGCGGCATACAAAGTTCTTAGGGGTAAAACCGTCGATCCCAGCTCGTCCGATATCAACGTCAGGAAGGACTATCATGATTTGAGCACTGCTATATGGAAGGAGAAACAACGGAGGCGAGCGGAGCTGAAGGTGGGGGTTAATGACCAGTGGAAGGATCGGCTACTCTTGGGTTCGGTCATACTGGTGCGTGTATCAGTCCAAGCAGAGATATCATCGCAGCAGTGTGGTTCAAGTGACTGAGCACACTGTACCCGATACATAGGCCGTAGCGGCTTTCGTGGCCCAGACGTTCACAAGCAGGCGACAGGCTTTGCGAGGCGCTGTTGAAAGTACTCGGGCCAATACAGATCGCTCCGAATTCGCTGCTGGTCAGAGAGCAGGCGGAGGTGCTTCTGAAGTCGACGCTGGCCGCCTTGCTGCACCCGACCTGGAACCTATTCCCGCGGACTCCCATTCCTGACGGTACCATATGGCGATCCTCCGGTGTGACCTTTCAAGAGGTCATGATGGCAGACCGGTGCAATTGAGGCAGTATCGTTCCCATCCAAAGAGTCCTTGGTTCGATCAGGAGAAGTCGCTGCTGATGAAGCAGCTTAAGTACCCAGCGCCAACGGGTGAGGGACGTGGGCCGTGCTTGGACGAAGGCGACACGCATGGCTGATCTCAAGTAGCTTTTGTCTTTCCCAAGAGCCGTCATGATTGCTTTCGTATATATAGCCGCTGCTTGATGCCGGCAGTGCTGTGATTGAAAGATGTCTTATCCTGTGCTATAGCTACTAGTATGTATATATGACACTTCCTCCCGTAGGTCATATTATTTACACGCTCTGTTGTCTTCCGTCCCTTCGTTGGTCATGAAAGTACCGTCCGCATGTCAAGTTCTTTTCGCCTTGGGTGCGTGCAATGTCGCCGTTACGGGATGGCAAGTCTACAATAAATTGCGCCAATGACATTTCAAACAATCTGAATACAGTACGTCCACTATATGAGCTGGCTACCATCCGTCCATGGCTGCTTCATCTTGAATAGGTTACATCGGAAGTGACTATCCTCTTGAGTTACCGATCCGCCCGCTGCCTCTCGTCGAGATGCAGCTCCAAGAATCAGTGCAGTACCCACTGACTGGCCTGGGCTCCGAGGAAGCCTGGATGACCCTAACGACCTACCCGCCCGGGTGGGGTTGGGTTCGTGTGGGACCCGACCACCGCCTCTTCGCGGTAGTCATGTTCCACCAACTACACTGCCTGCGCATGATCCAGAGAGCCTTCGCAGACAAGAGCGACCCCGTTGCAGGCGAGCATCACGTCCAGCACTGCTTAAACTACCTGAGACAGAGCTTCCTGTGCGAGGCGGCGGACGACCTCGAGGAGGGGGACTTTATGACGAGGGATTATGAGAGGGATAGAATGGGGAGCATTCTGGTGTGCGAGGATTGGGCGAAGGTGTTCCAGTTTGCTGAGAGAAACTTTAGGGAGTGGGAGGAGTGGGGTTCGGAGCAGGGGATTTGCAGGATCTCTGACAGAGTGGGTGACGGGATTTGTTTTTAGACCAGAAGCCTTGGCCGCAAATAACACTGGAAATGTATCATCGCGTACAAGGCTGTCAACGCGTACAAGGCTGTCAATGCATACAAGGCTGTCAACGCATACAAGGCTGTCAACGCGAGTGCGACAAGATGAAGAGTTGATTGAGGTACGTTACGTTGTTAGAGCTCGGTAAGTCATGAACTAGGACCGCTCATCAGTCCAGGGAAGCCCAGGAGATCCAATAGCACGTCCATCCCCTATGCCAACCTTGCAATCCTTCAAAGAAATGTTCCGCGTTTGTGTTGCCTGCAACGACATCCACCCAATTCCAGCCTAGGGCACCTCCACGAGCTGCTTTTGCGTCAGCTTGGTCCAATCTGTTCACTAGGGTGCCCATAACTTTCCGCGCCAGACCCTTCCCTCGATATTCTGGCTGAACGAACAATGTCCCAATGGACCCATCCGAGTGCTGAAGTGCCCATGCGATGGGACGTCCACCCGAACCATCTGCCCCTGCAGCCCGTATGCATATGGACGTGAGGCTTCGGGAAAGAATGTACTCCCTGGAGCGGGAAATGTGGGAAGTGGATATGATGGACTCAGCGTCCGAGGGCTGCAGCGGAGAGATCGTGAATATCCCGCCTAAGACATCCCTGTCAGGTAGCGCATCCCCTGGTCCCGGTGGAGCACGCAGGTATTTCGTGCATGGATTGGCCCTATCAACATCCAGGGAACGGAGAGTATCGACCCATTTCTCGTGAACCGATCCAATTTTGAACATAGTCGGATTCGACGAGTCTCCTAACTGGTCGTTGACATGCCTGAGGAACATTGTTAGAAAGTCGACGACGTGCTTCTTCTCGCGCCCCGTGGGCGTATCAGATGAGCCATCCGCGGAGCAAAAATAACGTGCTTGGTTGTTATCGAGAGGCGAATACGCCACGACTGAGTATAAAGATGGCCTGTCCGCATGGTTGAGGTCGAATGATGTCCAGACATACAACTTGGGCGCTACGCCATCAATCGTCTCAGCTGTAGGCGGAGACGAATGAAACAATGAGCCCAGTATGGGGAGAGATTGCGGAACGCCGTGCTTCAACAGCTCCACTAATCGCCCAACTATCTCTGGCTGGGTCAAGTCGGCCCTGAACAATTCGGTTGCATTTGACGACATCACGGACACTGGCACAATATGTCGTGGACGCAGAGTTAATTAGTTGGATACCAATAGGCTAGCGATTGTAGGGCTTACGGTCGGACTTGATCAGATGAAACGTCGGGGTGTCTCGTTCGAGTGACGAATATGATCTATTACTGGATTGATAAACTCGAAAATTAGTACTCTGAGTCAACCCGAAGGTTGTTGAAGTCGAGTTTGAGTCAGATTGAGAGTGAGAGTGAGTCAGGTTGAGTCAAGGCTGAGTCAGATTTACTTTTGTCCAGCTGCTGACCCTTCCGTACCTAACACGGTGTCCGCGACGTAGATCGAAGACTTCGGGTTTGATCTACAGCAGAAATTACGATTCCCTGGCGACTACGGAGTATTCCGCCCGCACCAATGGCTGGCTTAGCATTCCAGCATAATGTGCTCCCGGTAGGTGATGCAGTAAAACTAGACTATCCAAAACCTATCTGAAGTATACCTAAACATGATATCGTTAATGGTATCAGGCCTAAAACATGCTTGGCGAAATGGCAATCAGTAACTCTACAACAGGGTGCAGTGAGACCGCCATACCTTAGATTGCAAACTTCATGGAAATTTCAGCATCATCCAATTGCACTTCCATCCCGCCTTCCAGCCTGCTCCGGCCATCCTTTCGAAGAGGCGCTCACCGCTAGCGTTGTTTTCCATGACATCGACCCAATTCCATCCTAAAGCACCTCCGTGTTCCTCTTCCCGTTCACCCATACGCAGCCTGTCCACGGCCGCTTCTATCACTTGTTGTGCGAGTCCTTTCGCTCTAAACTGTGGTTGGACATATAAACCCCCGATAGATCCGTCCGCATGAGGAAACGCCCAGGCGACGGGGAGACTGGGAGATCCCTCTATGTTGGTCCGGATGCACACCGACATGTCACAGCGAGACGTGTAGTACTCATCCGCATGCGGAATAGCGGATGCGGATTTCAGAATCGGGATGTCGGAGGGTTCGAGTTGCGAAATGGTAAGATCTTCAGGGAGACGTCGATCATCCGTGGCAGGCGGAGAAGACCGCGACGTCAACGGAGGTAACAGGTACTTCGTGCATCCTCCGTTGCCCAAGGCGATAAGACTCAGTGTATCCACCCATTTGTCGTGTATGGATCCAACGAGAATGCCCGTCCTAGTAGGCGGATCGCTGCCCACTATCATGTTGATCGACGATGATAGCCCAAGTTCAGCATCAACGGCTCGTAGGAAAGCTTCGATGAATTCAGAGACGTGATTCTTCTCGTCTGGCGTGGGCTTCTCCGGCGTAGCATCCACGGAGCAGAAGTATCGTGCTTGGTTGTTGTCCACGGGGGAAAGTACTATAGCAGAAAATAAGGCAGGTACTTCGGGAGAATCGAGTTCAAAAGATAGCCATAGATGTAACCTCGTGAGTGTCTCAGCATCGGCAGATGAACGACATGGCCACGAATGAAACACGGTGCCTAGAATCGGGAGACAGAAGGGGGCACATGGCTTCAACAACTGTATCAGCCTTGCGAGGGATTCAGGTCGGGCCAAGTCCACTTTGAACAGTCCCATTAGAACCAAATCGCGGGAGTGACATCAAAGAGATTCGAGCACATGCTGCTACGACGCCCAAAAAACATTCAAGCAGACTGCTCCAGATAAGGAAGCTCTCCTTCCGAAAGAGGCTACTGGTCCTGAAGCATCCGTCCGCTTACTGATGGCTGAGCGCTGGAGCACCTGCATGCACCTGCCCTGCGGCATTGCCGAGCCCTCAGAAAAAACAGCATAAACGAAATGATCACTTGGGCGATTGTACGAGGACTACTTGGAGGCGACAACTACTGTCGGTTTACTGTACATTACCGGACCTGCGGCGGAGGTCCTTATGGATACAGTTAAGGTGCGATGTAAGCTACTGTAGGGAAACAATGGGGTATTAGCTCATGCATATGGTAGGGCGAGTAGATTGGGAGAGGCCGCTAGGGAAGGGCAGTGGGAAGGAATGAAGGGGAAGGTGATTAACGCAGATTTGAAGATACCAAGTTCGCGTGGAAACACGGGAATTAATGGCGAGAGTCTATGATACGACGCATGACATCCTCTTTTGTGGGTCGTCGTTGAGGTCGTTAGACATTTACGGGGTGTATGGCGGTGGTGGTGGGAGCGGAGGAAGGGGAGGGAGTGCAGCGCGCTGCCAGTGCCGCTGCTTCGCAACCTGAGCCTGCCTGACTTGGAACTCCCTTAGCTCTTGTAGACGCTCCTGCATCTTTTCAACAGTCGCCGAAGAGCTTCCAGAGCACTCAGAAGAAGTGCTGGGTGTAGGGCTTCGGCAGATTCCCGGCGGGCACGTCGGGGCAATCGAGTGTCCTGACTGGGGCCTAACCACCCGTCCCCGCGTCCGCATATCTGGTTGCGAAGCAAATCTCCTCGGGGAACGGTGGTACGTTCCCTGGGAGGATACCTCAGGCACACGAGGATCAGCGCTGGCGCGGGACGCCGGTGGAGATGCCCCAGAGGTATCAAAATACCAGGAGCCATCGGATCTTTGATGGGGGACTGGACGCACAGACGTTTCTGTCCCTGGGCTATATTCAGGAGCGATATGCACCACTGAGACTGAGAGATATGACGTGTGAGCTTGCTAACTTCGCACGTGCGAGGGAATAGGATGAAGCCTTACACCTGCGACCCGTGAAAGGAGTGATAATGTGCTCTGGATGGCGGCATTTCGTAGATCGCATGAGAGGCTTGTGTCGAGAGAACAGAGATGAACTGCTTTTCTCCGTTCCCTCTTTATCTTCACCTTGACTCTTCTGCTTGCGCCGCAAGTGTACAGTAATGAAAGCGATGCCCAAAGCCATGGGAGCGAAGAACGAGCTGGACGGAATGCCGATAGCGAGGATGTGTTGGCTGGATGAAGCGAAAGCGGATAAGGTGGCGGTGGACGTATGTACTGTCGTTGGCTCGTAACCTATGGGAGCATGTGTCGATTAACAAACTACGGGAGCCAAGGCATTAGTTCGTATCTCCTGTGCCAGCGTGGCGGAAGTCATACCGATGCACAATCGAGACTAGAGTAACTTGAATTAAGGTCGAATTGCAGAACAATAAAGCACTTGAATATGGGTCCCAACTGCAACCACTCGACGCCACTCTGTGCAGGAGGTTGAATAGGAAAGGAGGAAGAAGGAACGCGTCGACAGGAACGACGACGATATCAATATACCTCTCGCATCTGGCTTTACCTCTAACCTCATACGGCATGTCGGGGGATCCTGCGTTCCATGGGGAAAGGCCGAGTGGAAGATGATCAGTGTGCCGACGGGAAGGGCATCTGCGAGCTGTTATTTCCGGACAGACCGCATGAGAAGATTCGGGCGCTTGAGAAGAGAACTCAGCGAATTTGTGTTAGCGCCCACATGTCGCGATCGGACTACATAGTCAACAAATCCGGAGACGCGTAGCTTGGATGTGGGCGATTACTATGATAGTGCTCGACTGTCCTGGCCTATCAGGACATCGCCTTGGTCATGGCATCAATCCCTATCGCTGCAGTCATGGTCAGCGCCGACATACCCAAGACGGCTCAGCAGCAAAGTGAAACACGAGCGTCCACCGTCCAGTAAGGCGAGCGCTGCAATATTAATGCCGTACGCCGGTATACTACGTAGATTGGGTATCAGATCTTCTACAGATTTATTGCCAATGCGAATCTCAGCCTCCGAAGGCGCACGTCGGAGAGTTGACGGACCGATGTTTGCGATCCCCAAGGGTCCTCCATGTCCCGCTCCAAACATTGAAACAATTGTACAATAATCGTTGTTACCCGAGATATCGATGCCACAGGCCAGATACACAGTGGTGGGAAATTATGACAACTGCGCTTGGTGTTGCAAAGTAGACCGGGGACAACTGTGAAGAATGAGCGTAACCAACGGAGATGTCAGACTGCCATGGAAGACGTTTTAAGGAGGATTTCATCTGGGCCACTGCGATATACAGGTCAGCTGAGGGAGTCCGGCGCCACATCCCAACGTACATACTAACATGGGCGGCTCATATGCAACTCTCCCAGAGTGGTAAGCTATGACACTGCAGCGTCTTAATTATGCGAAGGGTAGCTTCACCTCCGATTACAAGACGATATTCGGCCATGGGTCTCAACATCATTCCTGCCAATGTTAAGCGTGGTCACGATGAATGACTGTGTATATAGTTTGCAATCGATTGCGTCGTGCCAAGCGACTTCCCTTCGTCAGTGTACATAAATTAAGCTACCTGCTTGAAGTTAGACCCTATACAGTATATCTCCCTGCATGGCAGAATGACCTTTAGACGCTGGCAGTGTTGATGTGTCGGAAACCGCCTGCTGCGGCTTCAAGAATGCGGATGCGATTGGCTTTTCGCGGTCATCCTACGAGACGTTGCGCATCTCTTACGGTACATCAAGGACATACTGAGACACCCTGGAATGTGCTCATCCAGCGTATCCTAACCTTTCCGGATATTCGACAGGACTTCCCAAAGACGAAGATCTTTGGTGAGCATTGGAACATGTCATGTTGAGTTATTGACACTCCATGAGCGGTCATGATCAGTACTGGGATTCCATGCCCGAGTTGTGTGACGGGCGGGCATTGATCAGAATATACTTGGCAGGAAGGACGAGAGAGCATACGACTCCGGCAAGTAAAAGTTGATATTTCCTTTGAATCACTCACATGTATGTTATAAGGATCCGCTGGTGACATCGTAGGCGTGGTTATAAACGGTGCATGATTCTGAAGGCGCATATGGCGAGATCCAGACATCGGTTCATGACCGTGTTCGTTTTCGAGACCCGACATTCAAGTTCGCTGCAGCTCGGGCTCAGGCACCGGAGTTCATCAGACGGGGATAATGCATCGCAATTCGAGTAATCTTTGCTAGCGCTCTCACGTGCACGCTGTAGTCCATGCGCTGCGAGGAATCCGCCCTTGGGATGGTCAGGGCAAGGGTCCGGGACACAGCTTCAAAATCCTAGTCCCCGTATTCAGCCTGGCAGTTGTAGTCGGTGTCCGAATCTGCACAGCGAGCACAATAGAGTAGGAAACTGTAGTGCTTTGAGCTGAATTGTCGAAACCCCAGATGCGTCGCAATGCCCGTAAGGAGTTGTTGGTATGCAGGACAAACCCAGAAGCTGAAAGGGACCAAAGGGTCCGGAATGCGTCCATCCAGGAACCATGACAAATGTGCTATGTATACCGCCTCCGACTTCAAGACCGCCATTACAACTCTTTCTTCCCCCCTCATTTCGGAGGAACCTGACCTTCTAACTTCCTCTCTCTACGCAATCAAGGATCCGACCCTTTACAATCGTTTATCTCCCTTCTCGGCATGGCGACCGACGGCGTGTCAAGGACGCTCACATTCTGGGGATTGGTGGGCGCAGTAATGACTGCTTTGAAGCTCAAAGAGCATTGGAATGACTGTACGTTCTCCTTAGAAGTCGAGCCGCTGGTAGGGCCTCTGATGGTCATAAATGTCAGATCAGGAGCTGTCTCAAGAGGAGGGTAGAATCGCCTTGGGTTCACCGCCAGCATACGACGAATCTGTGCCTGCTATAAATCAACTTGACACCGATATTCCTGCTGCCAGGCCTAAGAGAAGGCGCTCTAAACAATTTTGTATGTGTTGTGGCCTGAAGTACGCTCAGTTTCGTTTCATGCTACTGTTGCTCCTATTGACTGGGTGAAGTTGCGGTATATTCTGGAAAGCCTTCGGTATCGTGCTGGGCATCTTCGTGCTATGGAACGGCGTCAAGCTTATCATCTGGGCGATGACAGTAAATATGCTTCCCACTGAGTTAGTCATGTACTGATCGACCCGTAGCCAGCGCCTACTGGCTTGGAGAACATGCCAGTCTACAGCACATCCCTTGGCTGCATGGCTCCTGCCGCCAACCTTCTCTACAACTCGACTTCAAAGCTTACCTACATCCTTCCTGTGGATTCCGACGACCAGGAGCACACCCTTGATATTCGTGGCGGGGCTGTCGGTACCCTGGTCCTTGCCCCATACCCAGCAGAAGCTCGCGAGCAATCCGCAATCAAGTACGAAATCAGCATCCGCGCTGATGATGAAGCGCTGTTCGAATTTGTCCAGGTCAACCCCGCTGCCGATGGTAGCAAGTTCACCATGAAGTCGCCCATCATCGCCCTCATGCCGCTTGAGCATCGGAAATCTTGTATGCGGTACGACATGACTGTCTTCATACCTCAGTCTCTGAAGAGCGTGGAGATCAAGACGAGCGCTCCTACACACATCAAATTCGCCGACGTCCCAGAGACGGTAATCCTGGACGAGCTGAACATCCGGATGTTCTCGATGTCTGCTGTAACCGGCGAGAACATGCTCCTCCCGAACATGAACATCCGGGCCAAGGACTACAAGCTCGAGGTGTACGCCGGCTGGATCGTCGGTGACGTGCCGATCGTCGAGAGCACGAGCCTCAGCACCTGGCGCGGCAATGGTGTCCTGAACGCTCGCGTCCAGCCTGTCGATGTGCAGCCGGGGTACGACGAGGACGATGACGTCCCCGAGTTCCCTACCGCCAAATTGAATACGCATACCGGCTCCGGGCGCACTGATATCACGTACTTGCAGCCCCGCATCCACCGCCCGATTCATAGCAAGCATGAATCCTCGAGTAACGGAGAGCTGTATCTGACGTACAAGGACTCGGGCTTCAGTGGCCCTGTCAACGTCAAGGCCAAGAACTTCTCGTTGCGGAATGTCCAAGGCGGTATGGGTTCCGGGCAGACGATGGATGATAGGTGGGTTGGTGATAAGGAGGGAAGTGACAAGCTGACTGTGAAGAGTGACCTTGGCTGGGTCGGCCTGTACTTCTAAGTCGGATCGCTATTTTCTACTTGATCTATCGGTGTTTTGTGGGATTTGAAGCCATGTACATAGCTACGTACTCACTTAATCATTCGGACTTTGGTTGCATTCGATAGGGAATATCCCAGGCGGTAGACATACAGAAGTTAGTGATATATGCAGGTAAGTTAAGTACCGTCCATTGCAACTGTACATGTCCTCTATATATGATAGAATATAAAATAGAATAATACTAGTCAAGGAGACGGTGCGGACTCGTCATAGGTCGATTCGACGGCACGCTCCCATAAATACCTAGGGTATTACACCTGTTGCCGTCAAAGTACTCACTACATTAGTCAATGCCACGCTACAGCGTCCAAAAATCTTGAGGAGCCGGATTTTGTCCACAGCGTTTGACTTGATGCCCAAGTGAACGGGGCTGTCATACCACACAAGGCTCTTTCCGCACACAGCCCCCCGCAGGACCTTCCGAACCGTGCCCAGCATCCCACACCTGAAGCCCCTAGAGTATTGCATGACGCTTGACCCACCCGTGAATTGCACGAAGAAATCATGGCGATCATACAGACTTAATGCTATGTACTGGGTGAGAAATCGGTCAGGTTCCCCGTAGACAGCTGTAGGGAAGTGGGGGGTTATACCGCGATGGTAAGCCCTCTACTGCGGGCCCTTTCGAGAAGGTCTGAGAGTGCACTCTCCTTTGGAGTTGCAACATTCTGGCATGCCGTGAGCTGTAAGATGTTGACAAATAGAAGGGAGTAACACATACCCCGTCGCGGTAGAGGATGACCCAGTAGTCCTGGCCCATTACCACTTGCTGGATGGGCCGACCACTGGCACGATCTTGAGCCAGCTGCTGGTGAAGCGCCAGAGGCAACTCTGGCGGGCTCCATTTGATTTTCTGGCGGATACGTCGATGGCCAGGTTCGTCCGTGATACATACCCAGGCATCCGAAATGCCGAAGGCGACAGTCGTCGTACGATTATCCGACATATGTTCTCTGAGGTCGGGTGGGACGGAGTGACCTGCAGCTTTTAAATGTGAGAGGATCCCGATAACTACTGGGAACGAGCGAACATAGAAACTCGGGAGCCCCTGTTCGAGAATCCCGTGGGCTGCCTCGCACAACACTGCGGCTTCCGTCACCAACTGACAGGCATTCGATCCGATCCAGGCTACCCTCGTATATACAAGGCGGAATGTGGGAAATAGCGTAATTGGGGGACCTTGTACGGATAATATGCGCGAACATCAGAGGGACTCCCTTTCCGACCTGCATTGCACTCCGACGCACCAATAGAACTGGGGCCCTTCTCCGGACTCCTTGGCGACAAGAACACCACCCCATGGTAGGAAGGCCAGGAGAACTTTCCCGGTCATTAAGATGAGCGCATACAAATTCAAGCAATGTAAATTTGGGGGCAGGATCCTTCCATGGGTCTTCTTTTAACGTTGCTGGTGAAGCAGGGGTGGGAATAGGGCCCCATTTAAACTCAACATACCTGTGCTCGGAACCTCTTCATGGGCTAGGTGAGGTGTAGCCGTGCAGGTCCGCAGTTGTCCACAAGTGGGATACCCAGACCTGCACCCGCCGGGAGCTGGACTTCTCTGATTGGCTGCCGGACACGCAATGGTCCAGTAGACGCTGGCGCTCAAGTCGGTCTGCACAACACGCCCCCCCGGTAATGCATCAGCACACCGGTGCTGTGCATTTGCAACTTACAAAGTCGTGAACCTTCCTTATGTCTCGCGGACGGCGCAGGGATCTACGCCCCTTCGTATACAGTACGCCCGAAGAACGTGTCCGCAGTTAGTCGGGGCCACGCGTACATCCGAAGGCAGCCCAGCGGCCTGACGGCCATGTACGCCTTCTCACGACAATACGCGCTTGTTAGATACGGTGGGCGAAGGTCGGGACGGTAGGGTCCAGGGTGCCGGGGTGCATGCTCTGCCATCAGCAGCCCATGTAGCTGCATGACATGGTCTTCCAATCACAGGCGGATAAAATCCAGGGAAGGAACCATTACCATATGTGAGTATAGCCATACATATACAAGGATATGAATGCGTTCCCGCTCATATTACGCCAAGGCGCCCTAAAATCCAGGTCAATCCCATTGCCCGAACCGAACTGGGCAGAACTCACCATAGGATCCCAGTGCGGCAGGACGACCTTGTCCCCGCTCTCGTACACCTTCACGAGCTCCTTCGGCGCGAGCGCCTTTGGCACGACGACCTGGTACACGAACTGCTCGAACCACTTGTCCGTCATGACGAAGTAGCCCTTGTCGCCGACATCCGGGCCCCACGAGTTCTCAACCTAAGGATCGAAAATGTGAGTATTTGGGCCGGCTACAGATGCTTTACGGGAGACGTACCTTGTACCGGACGGGCTTCCCGTTGGAGTCCAGGTGAACTCCCGAGATCACCATAGCGTGGGTCATGGCGGACTCGTTGACCTGTAGCCTCTGGGCCTTGGTCAGCCCCAACTTGATGTTGAACGCATTCTACAGATTCAAGGTAAGAACAAGTCTTGAGAAACCAGCGCGCGAATCGGCCTACCTCGTACTCCATCAAATCAATATCCATAATCCCGCCCACACTGTTCGAAAACTGGCCGACGTCACACCCAAAGAACACAGGCTGGCCCGCCTTGATCATATCCACCACGGCCTTCTTCAAGTCCTCGATCTCGGTGTTCACGTACAGCACCGGGCGGCCACCCCACACGTTGCCGAGCTTGTCGACCGTGTACAGCTTGCCGTACGCGTTGCGCGGGTCGTTGATGAGCGAGAACGCGGACGCGGGCGGGTACGCCTTGCTCGCAAACGCGCGGTAGAACTCGCGCGGCGTGCCTGTCCAGCTCTGCGCCTTGCCGTCCTTGTCGTAGTAGTCCCACGTGAACGTATCGGTGGGCCGCGGGGGCACGCCGAGCGTCGCGGTCATGACGGCGTACACCTCCTTCATGAGCGCTTCCTTCTTCGAGCGCAGGGTCTTGGAGATCTGGTCAGCAGACAAGTTCGAAGACTTGAGGGAGGACGAGAGGTCCCGGAGAATGAGTGCGTGTTCGCGGAGCTTGGTCTTCAGGAGCGTGTTCAGCGGGGAGGAGAGGGATGAGTGGGTGGACTCGGGATAGAGCGCTTGCGGAATGACGCCGTAGTTCTGACAGGGACATACTCAGTCGGTGTGCGTGCCTTCATAGTCCAAAGTCACCGGCGTACCTCAAGGATATTCACAACCATATCCCACTGACCACCATCACCGATGAGATCCTGCGAAAGACTGTCGACTAGACGGTCGTCCAGGGGCAGGTCTGCGAGTTCGATCGCCAATTCCAGATAGTAGTTTGCCTTGTTCAGTTTGTCATAGAAGAAGAGATACGACTGTGGAGATAGCAATTTTAGCATTCCGACTCAGATCCGTTCCCCGTATGGGACTCACCTGAGAGCACTGGAAGTCCTTCAGGTTCAGCTTCTTCATGATGTTGTATCGCAGGACGTTCGTAGTGGCAAACAACCAGCACCGTCCACTGCTCTTCTGGTTCGTGATCGGATCAGTCTTGAAGTCAACCTCGGTGTTGAAGACATGGGCGTCCTTGATAACGGCAGACCGCGAGGTCAACGCGTCCTTGATGTTGGAGTGCGAGAGGATGGTCCGCGCAAGCTGGGTCTTGGGGTCAGACGCCAGCGACGACTCCCAAGACGACAGGTTGGAGAGGGACAGGGAGCCATCAGCGGACAAAGGTTCCGCTTCCGGTTCGGACGAGAGGCTCATCGACGACATGGAGTTGACGAGAGCCTGTTTCTCGCTGACGCTGAGTGCGGCCTCGGAGACAGCGGCGGGCTTGGAAGGTGCGGAACCCATGGCGGCGGGGCAGTCGATGGCAGAGCTAGAGACGGCCTGGCGTGCCGGGAGTACCGTCGCAGTACTTATAGTCGCGACACGGGGCATGCCGAGATAAGATACCGCCAGCACAGCCATTGGCGGGACTATTCGCGTCGCATTCTCATGAGGTGCCTTCTGCTCGTGTTTATCCAACGCAGCTGCGTTTGTCTGAATTCGAACAGGCCTGTGGAAAAGATTTCAGAGCAGTTTGAAAGGGTGGAATTCCTACTGAAACGGGTATGTGCCTGAACTTGATATGAGAGTCACGTGATAGGGACGCGTCCCTGGGTCGAGTCGCAAATTGCGTCGCGTCCCCGTCGTTCGAGACTGTCATCTCAGCCCATCTCATCCAAATAGAGCACTAGGAGCGGACTCACAAGCAGTATCTGTCCAGCGTATTCCGGCCCAAGCGTTTGAATCATTCAGCACTTTTCCTCTTTCCAACGTAATAATGTCGGGGAAGATAGGAGGGACTATATCATCCCATGCCACACTGCTGCAGTTATATTATGAGGCCAATGCGATAAATTTAAATCAGGTATTGTTTGTAGGGAAATCTGCTTCACTCGGGGCCTGTTCTGTAAAGTGAAGGATGCACTCGCCTGGATATCTGTCTTTGTCCTTGGCCACCATCGTGATACAGGCCGGGTCTGTTGTATAAACGGCTGAAAATCCCTTCAGATAGCAGCACGATTGCTGACCATGATATCTGGAGTACTTGTCGGGCTCTGAATCGATTGCTCCCCAAGCCGCTCCTCGCACCTCTATACTTGGATGGTCACGGTGCTCGTCCTGCGTACAAAACAAGCAGTCTGGGGCCATGTATGCGCGAACCGTAGGAGAGTCACAAACTTCTGCCTTGAATTCACAAAAACCTCGAACCACGTCACTTGCCATAAACGGCATCATGGACTTTGCCTCCGTTCGCGTCTGGATCGGAGTCGCGTCGCGCTCCTTTCGACCACTATCGCGGCCTCGTCCGTCTCCAACCGAAGGGCATAATTGCTCTGGTAAGTCCTCTGCTAGTGGTCTAAGAGATTGATACTGAAGACCTGCTACATTAGATTTCGTTCATGTAAATATACATCCCAGAAATCCTTTCGTCTTCGCTGACCCCTATTTAATCTCAGCGTAAGTCAAGTGTAATGTCTGGGCATACGATATCTGACCTTGGGTAGTGTAGCATATACCGACTCCCGTCAAGAACAATAGATCAACTCTCATTACGATAGCCTCAAACACACCCGACTACCCACGAAAAGTATGATACATAGAAACCCTCCCATAATCGCGGAATCCCCCGTCCTCGACGGTTACAACTCCGCGGCATGCTCCGTCTTCGAATTTCCTCTGCCCCCTCCGCCCGGCCCGCCCAAACTACGGCACCAAGAGTCGCTCGTCGCGATATCCAGTCGCGCCCTGTTGCCCGGAAAGCGCCAAGGTCGGAGGACGCTGGGAGTCGACTGGGACGCCGCGTCGGACTGGTCGTGGGACGCGGAGAGCTGCATTAGCGCGAAGCCGGGGAGGACGCTGCGGAACAAAGCATCGAATAACACGCTGTCCCTTCCTCCCCAGGCAGTCAGCGACAATGCGCCGTCCAACTCGGGCCGCTATCGCATAACGTGTCCCGCCCCGCCGGCGTTCGTGCAGAGTCAGGCGCTCGCCCCTGTCGTGTCAGAGCAGGCCCGACGAACTGCCCCTTCGCGAACGGGGCAGGCATTCCTATTTGCTTCGTCTTCGATGCCAGAGAAGACCCTCGGAGACAGAACAAGCTTCCTCCAGCTAGACGACGACTCCCCTCCACTAGACTACAACCCACCCCTCTTCACCGCTAGACCCAGACCTATCATCCCCTCCGCCAGACTAGCCCCCTCCTCGTCCATGCCCGAGATGAAGGGCGGCGTGCTCGCGGGCGTCGACGACGTCTTCCGCGCCGACGACATGCCTAAGAGCCAGCTGCGTCCGAACCGGCGCACGATGATGCCGGTCGACCCGGAGAATAGGTGCTCCGCCTTCGACCGGCTCGAAGCGAGCATCGCGCAGCTGAGGATGCACGCGCCCTCCCCCAGTCCGCTCGGCGCTGAAGAGCCTGCAAGCGCTCCCGAACCTCAGCAGAGGCGCCGCAAGCCGGCGGACCGCCACACCTACTCGCCAGCTACTGCATTATCCCAGAATAAGCCACCCCCACCTCCAGCGCAACCCCGCACCCCCCGCACTCCCGACGCGGAGGCCATGAGCCGAGCGCACAAGTCGCGCTGGCGGGACGCGCCCCTGCCGGTTGTGCCTCCTCATTTCGGGAGCATGCTCAAGTGCACCGACGGCCCCGGCTCCGGGCGTCGTCCCGACATGCGCAGCAACCCAGCGTCCCCGAGTCCTCTGGCGCACGCACCTTGGTCCATTCCGCAGACGCTCCTCCCGTCTCCCCAGCTGCCGGCACCCCGGCACCCCCGTGCTAGCAATGCAGGGCCTGGCAAGCCTAGGATGCTGCAGAGGCAGGCTCCGCCGCACATACAAACGCCCTCGGTGCCTCCTGTCCTGACGTCTTTCATGAACATGTCGCCGGAGCAGCGCATCCCCTCGGAGAAGGCCAACCAGGAGCGCTCGGCGAAGGTGAAGAAGCTCCTGCGGAAGGCGAGCGTTATCGGTTGGTGGAAGAAGAAGGGGAAGGATAAGACGAAGGAAGCTGTATAGGAGTTTTTTTAATCTGGGTTATTTGGATGTCCCTCTCGTTTTGTAGCGAATATTGTCAGTTCTAGCTGCCTTCGTTTTTTATGTATTAGTGTCTCGTATTTGTTGTTGTACAATACCTAGACGGCATCGCGATGTATCAATGACATTCTCTACTTCCCATGGGAACATCACATGGAAGAATCTGCAGAGTCTGATCAGTACAGAATCAAGGAGACGTAGTCCTCGAATGTTGCTCAAATGACTATGATCAGAACATGCAAGCGCACGCATCGCTTGAATGGAGCGTGCACTGAAGGCAGACGGAATTGAAGGCATCCGACCGAAGACTCCGTATATGCGCGGTGTATGTTACACAGTCATAAATACAAGTAGATGATATCTGTGCCGAACATGTTATTCAACGGTGGGGTCCTATAAACATGAGACTCACAAATTGATATGCGTAATCGATAAATATAGAAGAATATCACGGCTCTCCTGGGGTATATGGTCTTACAAATAGCGGACATTGACTTCCTTCCTTATACCGACCCTGCACATACGGCCGTGTGAGCACTCTGTGTTTGCAAAGGGCTCCGCATCAGCACCAAAACGAGACAAGGATAAAGAATTGTTCATACACGTTGGCCCTGATGATCTTGTCCCCTGTGCCCGAGAACACGAAGTTGGTCAAGAGGATGTACAGGAACGTCTTCATCTCGATCATCGAGAAGCGCATGCCGATGCACGACTGCCCAAACATGAGAAAAGGAACAGCCAGGATACAAGCGAGACACGCACCCGAGGACCGGCTGAGAACGTAAGCAGGTTGGAGAATAGGCCAGGAAGTTCAGTGACGATCTCTGGAAGATTATCCCAGCGATCTGGACTATGTCGTGAACTTCATGTGAGCAAGGATATCTAGCAACCGCGCTGCGAGGGTTAGCGTACTTGAAACTCCATGCGTCCTCGCCCCACCACTCCTTGTCAAGCTGAAACGCCTCTATGGGTACATGCACGAACGTCCCCTTGGGGATCCTTAAGCCGCTCCTCTCCTCCCTCCCATCGCGCATCCGAACGGGGTACGAGACAGGAATGATATCGTCCTGCGTCGCCACCCGCAGAGAGGAGTGCACCGGAGGGATAAGCCTGAGCGTCTCTCGCACTACATTGTGTAGATACGGCAGATTCGAGATAGTAGTATAGAACGACTCCGTTTCCTCTGGTGTGAGCTTTGCAAGGTCGGAGGATGGAGCAATACATAAAAGTTCGTTGCGTAGCCGTGTCTGTACTTGGGGATGCTGCGCGAGTAGTGCCAGTATCCACGTCAACGCCAATGAGGTGGTATCGGACCCCGCGAACATGAAGGTATTGATATTGTGCAGGATATCTTCATCGGAGATGCGCTGTTCTGGAGGGAGATCAGCAGCCACGTTAGATTTGACTGTAGTAAACGCGGTGTCAGTACCGGCGAACGACCAGTCGGGACGCTTCGAACGTACGAAGCAGGGCGAGCAAGTCTTTCCCGTGGTATCCTTTACCATTCACTTCGCCCTCGTGTATCTTCCGTTTCTTCTCCTGGATCAGTTGCCCTGCTACACGCTCGATTACGTCGTGTGCCCTGTCAACGGTCCGAGTAGCTTGATTAGGCTTTGCAGAGGTTTCAGCGAACGCCTCGAAGCGCTGAACAATTCATCCTTACGAATAGTTTGTCGATTATAGGAAAGTAGATCGCCAGCACTGAGCGCAGAGCACCCCCGGCACTTTGTGAGATGGCGATTTCGAACATTTCTTTATAAGCGAGGAAGAGCTCGTTCGATTCATCTTGTATGGCATTGAACTCGTAATCGAAGCCTAAAGGCCTATTAGGAAATTACGTTCAGGGCAGCACGACAGTAATCTCACCAGCTAGACCGATAACGTCGAAGGTCGCGCGACTGACCCAGGAGCAGACGTCTAGGACCATGCCTCCCTCTTTCCCCGGGGTGCTGCCTTCATATATTAGCGCCAACCACTTGTCCTTCAGCTCGTTACCCTTGCCGAAGACCAGGGGGATGAGAGCTCGCATGTTCTGTATCGAGAAGGCGGGCGTCGCCACGCGTCGCTGACGCTTATGCATCTGTCCTTCTGCAGCTAGCATCCCACAGCCGATGAGACCAGTAATAAGCTGCCTGGATTGCCATGGTTTCTCGTAGATCGCGGTGTTCTTCAGGACGTGTGCCAGGGACACTGGATCCAGGGGCAATATGCGTTCGTCCCACTATACCTCGTTCAGAACACAGCTTGAGGATCGACAGCAAACGACGCACCGGACCAAGACCCCTGATTCTCACAAGACGACCGTAGTGTTCGACAATCCTCTGATGATTGATGGGCGACTTGTCTGGACTGGCCATGCAAGCTGTTCTTAAGAACGCCCTGCGCACGATTAGTGCGAATGTACGACTCACTTCAACAGCGCAGCCATATGATTGTCAAACAGACTCTTCACTGGGGGGCCAGGTAGCTCTTGCAACGGATTGAAACGCGGTGCAACGAAGACATAGTATACAGCAAACGATGTTAAGACCAGCGCCGCAAAAAGGATGAGGTTTAGCAAAGGCATCATAGATGTGGATTAGTGCAGTTGCGTTGTTACGGTTTCTTCCAAGCAGTCATGATTATAAGTGTATCCCGGATATGTAGAGCATTCCGAGTTTCATATATCGTAAAGCTACGAGACAATAGCATTCCATTGAGGAACGTGACCGTGACCTCCCGCGACGCCTTTGTGACAAAATGCCACACTGAGTCCCGCGGACCCGGGCCGAAGAAGCAGTACGACGGTGAATGATCAATGAGAGGTTAGCAGGGAGTTTTTGCATACTTCCCTTGTATTGACGAAGTATCCAGTCCCGCAAAATACGTGCAGACCCGAAAGAGAGTAGCCTGTCAGTCCTTCCAGCTGATGAGGGTCACACTTCAATGAGCATGTAGAGCGCAGTTGTCAGAATTGAGCTGTCTCTGCATATATTTAGCAAGGTCGTAAGTACTCAGTATGTCCTCACTATCCAAGACAGAACTCAGGAACTGAGAAACTCATGGGGGAGCAGGCAACTACAATATTTATACTATGAAACCTCAAAGGAATTTCTAGCATGATCCAGACTAGTAATCCTGCCACCCCCATACTACGTGGTCTGTATCGACTATGTTTGACATTGGCTATCATGCAGGACCCCCTTCGAGTCTCAGAGCGCAGGATGCCAGGTTTATATCCGGTGCCAGGCTAACATGTTACTTTTGACCCTAAGATACTAGCTATAGGCAAATCAGTAGGTCGTGACGCGGAGTTCTCACACGACAGACTCGTCGTATCTGACTATACGTCCTATGATTTGGAGAGGTTCGTCAGGAGGTGTGTTTTTTTGCATTAACTTGGAGTCGTCCGACATGCCCTGATCAGATCCCGACCTCCAGGAGCTTGGGAATGAGTGGCAGGCATTGACCAAGACATATGCTGCCACCGGAGATAGTACCATTGCAGACCTCATTCGGTCCACCCCTTCGCCGCGGGTTTTCGGGTTGAAACTGGTCCGAGCCGCGTGAAATTTCGCCCACTATGGAGCCCCATGTCATGGCGGGTCAGCTACTGCACAAGTCGGAGTGCCTGAAAACGGTGAACATAAGTGGACTCGCCAATGCGCTATGGGTAAATTTGACCTCTGCAGCGCCTTTTGTGAGTCGCCATCTTCCCTCTACGTCGGACGTCGTCAAATTATTTGAAAACTCTACTCAGTGTTGACCACACGGTCTCTCGACTTGAAGTTAAAAGGCTCAACCATCCTCTCATCCGCGGACTGCTACGATACCGTTTATCTCTTCTGTTCACGCAACATTTATATTTTCCGCTAGAAGGCCTTGTTGTCCTTTATGGATTTCGACCCCAGGTCCACGGGTCTGTCGGACAAGCTAACCGGCCTGCCTGACGAGCTGCTGGCCTATATAATTGGAGGTATGCCCTTGAGAACGTTGTTCAGTCTACGCAATGTTCGTGATTAGCCTCCTGTCTCTTTCCCCTTCCCTTAATCCTGCCTCGTCCAGATAAGCAAGCGCTTCTATCGATTCCTGGACGACGTCACGGTCTGGCAGAAAGCGCTGAGCTCGACGCTCGGTATCCCGCGCTCAAGTGTGGAAACCATACTTCTTGGGTCGTCGCCAGGAGAAGTCCGGCAGCGAGCAATGAGGGTGCTTTTAGTCAATGAACAATGGCACAGGCCTCAACGCTATCCCCGCCGAATCCGAACCTATCGATGGCTAAACTTGCGGGACGTACAGATATTGCCGGGGGGTGATTGGCTTGTATGCCTATCTACCGATGGTACCCTGCAGCTTCGTCGGGCGGACAGGGCGCTGAGCACCGAGTTTACGATCCCGGAGGCTGTCGACATGTCTGGCTTTACGACGAGCAGCACCAGCGTCAATCCTCATGGCTCGTTCTATGTTTTGTTCCACTGCACGCAAAGGTACGCGGGTTTCTTTGCCGGAAAGCTTGCCATAATCAAGTTTCGCCCCTGAGATTGTACATCTACGAAGTCTACGTCGTTCCTGAGCCTATTATGCGGTTGGTTGTCGTGACGGTAAGACGGGACTTGGGCCCTGAGGCCACCATCCTCCGCAACGCCTCGATTGCAGGAAATATCGTTGGCTTCGACTGCTTTTGGGCCGGCAGGAATCTCCTTTGTCTGAGGACTGTTCGGCCTAATTCTGATGGGAAGCACGAGCAAATCGCATTTTTATATGTAAGTCAATGTCGTTACATCGCACATACGCGACTAATATTCGGAGAATATGGCAAATTGCACGATCCACATCTTGAGCCGAAGGATCGTGATTGTTTGTGATGCAAGCAGCATAGAAGTCCACAAGGTCCCGGAGCTTCGACCGATGAGCAGTGTAACCGACCTGCAGATTGTGGAAAGCGAAATTATTCTCAAGCAAAACCTTCAAATTGTCACACCTGGCACTTTAACAGGAAGTCCCGCGGTCTGGGATAGCTTCGACGGCGGGCATATCGGACCACTGATTATGATCGGCCCCGGTGTTCTTCACATCGTCCTGCCTTCCAGTGACCTGGAATCCTACGGCTTTCGCGCTTTCCGGGTTCCAGAAATCCTTGCACCGTTCCCGACATCTGGGACCCGCTATGCTCTTTGCCCTCAGTTAGAGCCAGGCCGTGGCCTAGTTTTCTGGACGGTAAAGTACCCTGTTGTGTTGCCGTTTGGAGGCGACGATGACCCTCGAAGCTTCGAGGTGGAACCCGACTACGTCCCTGTAGGCCGATTTGTAGTTGATGAAATCAAACACATGGCGGTCGTAGCCACTCGCATGGACGATTGGACTGGGCGTGCGTGCATCATTCTGGAGGATGGACCGAACAGCAGGTCTCTCGGAGTTCTAGACGTTGTGTAAAGCATTGCAAAAAATGCGAGAGTTGTTCGAGTATCTGCGGCAAGGAAAGTGTGACCCATGTCCTGAGCTTGAAGAGACAGTCTCGATGGTCGCTGTGGGCCATGAGCCATGTATACTATAGTGCGGCTCAAATAGAACTGAGTCTGTCAAATATTGAATATCCAGGGAGGGGTCATTAGACTATCGTCGCTAACTACTGGTGTACATTAAGCAAGGATTCCGGGCATTACGTTGCTTTCGTCCATTCTCCAAACTCCTCATCACGAGCTAAGGTAGCGTCGGAAGACGTAGACCGTCTGTGGGTGGGTGCTTCCCTTCCACGGTCTTCCGCTGTCTCGTCGTCGCCGTTCATCAAACCAATAGCTTCGTCACCGCTGTTGCTTCGGGAACGCCCAGGTATCCCGTTCCCAACAGCTCCTTGAGGGCGTGGATGTGGTGCTTCGGGCTCATTGTGGTCCTCGTCCTCGTCATCGCTCGCGTCACCTAGCTGCCATACAACCTCTCGACTTTCGGGGTCTCCTTCGGGTCTGAGTCCTTCCTCTTCTCCATCCGTTCCCCTGACAGCCTTCTTGATCTTTTTCCGTGAAGGGATGGATGACAGTCTGGTTGTGCCCGCTGGCCGCACCGGCTCTGGCTTCTTGTGCGTGAGCAGTACGACCCCGGAGATGAGGATGAGTATAGACACGAAAATCAGGAACAGCGTCCATGACTGATACGCGTCTACTTCATTATTGAAGATCTATACCACGTTAGAGTTCAAGGGTGTAGATGAAAGCACAGTCTGGAGCTTACCAGTGAGTCAAGGAAACTGGAGAAGACAAGTCAGCGGCGGAGCTTGCTAAGAATAAAAAATCGGCCTACCCAGTCGCAGTGTAGACTCCATAGAACACAGGCACGACGAGCGTCGAGTCATAGACCTTGAGTCCCCGGTTCAGACATATGATCTGGAATACAGCTGTCGCGGCCAGGAGAATGAATGTGAAAATTGAAGCAGCGTGTCCAAACTGGTTTCCGGGATTCTCATGTGATAGGCTTCCGGAGATCAGCTTCACTCTACACATACAGCGGTTAGAAATATGCCACTTCTCATCACTGAGCGAGACGCTCACGAGGCTTTTGCGAATACCAAGGTACCTCCGGCTAATCCTCCTCCGCAGCATGCCCATCCAATGCCCAGCGTCCACGCAATTTGTTTATCACCTTTGGCGGCAGTCCAGAGTTCCAGCTGCTCTCCAATCCACATCATTGCTTTCGTGTACGCGATCCTGGCCTTGCCAATAAACCCGACGCCAGGCGAGAGGTTACGGCGCCCGCTCATGCCAGCAAACGGTTCGGCACTGAGGTCTGACCGAGCGCTTAACACGGCATCTAGCTGAGATGTGAATACGTAGAGAATTATGAGAGCAAAGGCCATAAAGAAGAAAAAGCCCAGCCATCCGCCCCGTGTCCAAAGTTTGGTGAGGTGGGCCACGTCTGTCTCAGACGCAAGTCCGCTGTTGATGGACCCGAATGCTACAATCCCAATAACCCCTACGATTACAATTATCGTGCCCTAGATGCACCTTGAGCGGACGAGTATAGGCTGGTCGGAAATCACTCACATAGATGTCGGTACTAGTCACTGGCGTGCCCACCAGGAATCTCGCGAACAGAAAGTTGAAGATGAGAGACGTTGATCCAAGCGGTGCAACGTATTCTATCTCCCACTTAGATTACAATTTGTGGAGGCAGCGGAGTGCGTACCTGCTCGCATATATTCAAGGGCAAGTGTACTGCCAATTAATTGTGAGAGTCTACGTCAACAGGATTAGTGGAGGTAGTAGCAACAGCAAGCCTTGCACACGGACATGTATAATACCATTCCAAGCAACCATAATGGCCTCAGCCAGTCCTTCCTGCGCGAAGCCTTCGGTATAGCACTCGTACGGACCTGTTCACGGATCAGACGCGTCTCTCAATTGCGTTCAAGTGTCTACATACGTGATCCAATTTCGTCAGATTTAACCCAGCAGCGTTCAGGATCGAGGCGAGCAGAATAATGGAAAGACCAATAATAAAGGCAAGTACAGGACTCGCGTGACGGGCGGGAACGTCGTCATTATCTTCCGGCGAGTCCCTCTGCAAAACGGTGGCGACTGCCGCTGCGAAGGTCGGCGTGGTCGACATGGTTAGAAGCGGGGTATACAGCGCTCACAGCGCGACCAGGCCTAGGACCAGCGCAGCGTCTAGAAATCGAAATACGACCGTCTTAAGCGAAGTACGAGTTGGCATCAGCGTCGTCCCAGCCACCGCCTCTATAGCCACGGACTTCTCCGTCATCGTCAGTCGCGTGCTCGACGCGTGCCGCCGGCTCTGTGTCCGTGCTCTCGTCCTTGACCTCGGGCATCCTGAGCGGCCAGGCATCCCAGCTCGACGCCGGCTGCGATGGATGCGATTATCACGAAACTCAAGGCCATTGCGGAGGCACACTCTTCGGAGGCAGTGAAGGCCGCCATCGAGCACCTGCAGGCGTCGCCACCTGCGTCATGGGACGTTATATCTAAAGATTTCGACGCCCTACAGACAGCAGGCTTATGGGAGCAATCGGAAGAAAGCAGTAAACTATTGCAAGAACTGCGACGTTCTCTGATGTCAGCGGGTGATACTGGCCGTAAGACTTACGGGCGCGATATATCTATAGTCCAGGTGCCCCACGAGCAAACCGGAACTCTCCCCGCAATGCCAGTCTCTGCACTCCCACCCGAGCTGTTGGATGCCTTCAACCAGGTGCTCTATTTGCATGTGCTCGCGACGGAGCCGGAGCGTATCCTTCCTCCGGGGAAGTCCCTACTCTCCATGGTCGCTCGTCCTCGTCAGGAAGCAGAACATCAGAATGACCAGGTGCCGAGTCTGAGAGCGAAAGTAGAAGACATCGTGCACAGGGCTTTCTGGGACGAGGTGCGATCATTGTGTATGTAGCATGTATATAATTTTGATATGCCTCTACAGGCCCTGGAGGCATTGTCCAACCCCACTGCATCCTCTCAGGTCCACCGACTGCAAGCACTGTACAAGGATCTTTACGATGCCCTGAAATACATTCTACCCTCTAATCATCCAGTCCTAGCTACACTGGGATCACCCCTGTCCCCTACTTCATCCCCTCTGCTGTCGGCGATCACACATCTCCGCGAAGTCGTGACCGCCCTTCGAGAACGCTGCGCTCCTGCGCGGGACCAGTACATTGACGAGCTGCTCCATCGGCTAGATGATGCAAATCCAAGATTGCCTGTCGGGGAGTTAGCAAACATAGTGGTGGAAGTAGTGAAATCTATCCTTAAATTCACGGAGGTCATGAAGGATGATCTCGCACAGTTTGTGCTCGGGACGATGGGTGAGAAACAACTGAGAGCCGCAATTAGAGAAGAAGCCAGACGGGGCGAACGCCAACTGGTGATAGAGATATGGGGAGAGCAGCGGACGCAGGAACTTTGGATACAGTGGGTCTCTGCATTCAACGGGACTTACCTAACCACTGGTGTGGAACTGGGTCGTCACATATGGATTCCGCGACTTGTCGAAGCATTGGGCTCCGTCATAGCCGTATCCTCTCCTGAGTTGCCTATCAATGATGGTGCGTCAGAAGGGCAAAACGATAATGTCCTGCCTCCACCTCTGTTTGTTTCTGGCCCTTCTCTGTTATATGTGCAGAATTATCTCCAAGCACTTGTGATAGCGGCAGCCCTGCGGTCACTCACACGTCTCCCGCCATCAGGACCGGCGACCGAGAATACATCCTTCATGGACCGTGTATGGGCGCTTCTGAAAGCTGAGATAGACGGGGAACCCGGATCAGGTGGAACGAAGCTCATAAACCTTGCCGATGAAGTCGTGCGGGCGAGGAAGTCTCTTGGAGAACCGCTGGATGCCGCTGAGGAAGAAAAGCTGCGCGCGGCCGTCAAACGAACATTGCAGATCGATGACCCGGTTTACGTCCTGCTGCAGAAGCGGTTGCTGAGCGTCATCACGACTCGTTTGGTGCAATCTGCCCAGCGCAAACAGCAGCCTATGGCTCCTGCACATCTCCAAAGCGGACGGGAGAGACCCGGGAAGAGACCAAGGCTGGTCATAGACGACGAGCCGGAAGAATCGCGAGAGAGGACGCCCGAGGGCGAGGTGATAGTCAAAGGATTTGAAGACCCAGTACTAGTGCGAGCCATAGGGGAAGCAGTGGGGCGCCTCCGGTCGAAGGTCGAATGGACGAGAGAAGTTTGGCACGACTTGACCGATGGAGAGTCAGTCGCAGGCACGCAGACATACCAAGGAACATAAATTATTCTTATTGCGCTGTAATCCTAGCACACAGGGGCATTACTTGCCGCAGCCCGGACAGCAGTGGACGACATCATGGACAAAGACGTCGCAGTCTGTACAGAAGTCATGGTGGCAGTCTGGACAACGGTACCGACCTAGAGGACTCAATCCTTCAGTTGTGGCTACATTGGTAGCGGCAGCTTCTGGGAAGGACCGAGCGCAAGCATGGCACGATTTAGCTGGTGTAGAGGTGTCATCGAGTGTAGTTCTAGTGTGAGTTGATATTAACGTAGAGCGCTGGCAAAGACATAAGGACACTTACACCGCTTGATACGGTTTGACGGGGAATAGATGGTGATAACTTCGTGCAAGATGAGGCGAACTAACGATCATCAGGCCGCAGATATCACAGTCGGTGGGGACATCGCAGACTTTGGCTGAACATCTTGGACAGAGGAAGCCTTCACTTTTCAGTTCGGAATGACAGACACAGAGGGTGGGCGGCGAGGTGTCGGGTAAGCGAACAGGGAAACCCATCATCATGAGGTCAGCCGCAAGATTTGTCGCCCCTGCCCCAGCAGCGCGGGACAGAGCGCGCTGCGCTGGCGGGGGGATAAGTTCGAACAGGAGGTCTTTGAAATGGCCTTCATTCATCGCAACTCCGAACTGTCCTACCTTACAGACATGGCTGTGAAGTGAACAATGATAGTGTCAGTGGACCGTGTTACTCACCGCCCGTTTTATCGCAGAACTCTCGGCAGATTTTCATCTCTGCAGCAAGTGCTACCACGGAAACACGTATCCTGTCTCGGATGCATGCATCCAGAGTATCGTGGATGTTTCCAGGATCGACGGTTGTCAAGGACCCGAAGATAATCAATATCTCGCGAGACGAATGGGTAGGTAGATGACTGTCATCACCAATGGAGTGCTATCCAGCTCCACGCAAAACACGGACATACCTCATGCTAGTGCGAGCCATGTCTATGGCATTTTGTAGACTAGGCTCCCCGGCTGGTTCCAGTTTATGTCTCTCCGAGAGAGCTTTGAGGACGTCTTGCGGGTTCCCTGAGACCCTGCCTTCAGACACCTGAAGTCATATTGCTCTACGTGTGCTCCTTACCCGACATCTCGCTCAACCGCTCACCGAGGCCAGCACGCATGCCTACCAGTCCAATCTGGCCCAGAGGATTCTGGTCAAACCACTCCACTATGAACTCCCGAGCATACTCAAGCGTTAGACCAAATCTTGTTGGCCGCATGTCCCTGTCCAGCATGGAGGCGGAGAGATCCAAAATTATAATAAGGTGACGGATAATTGTCCGACGGATTGCATTAGCTGGAGCGAGTAGCCTGCCAGACCATTTATTCGAGACATGGTTGTATCCTGAGTAGCAGAGCGTACCTCCTACGCCGGCCTCGTGCAACCAAGTCCGCCACAGCACTTGTTAAACTGCCTGCTTCATCCTCTTGTACAGTGTCCCAAGACCTCGTATAAGACGCTTCCCAAGCATAGGGTTGCTATCACGACGTGTAAATTGCATAGAATACCACGCCCCCGGTAAGATTACCTCGCTCGACTTTCCCTTCCCTTTGTCCTTCTTTCTTCTGTCTATCGCCTTGCCCTTGCCTTTCTTACCCCGGTCGCCAGAATCATCTATGACGTCCACGTCAGAATCGGACTCTCCATCCATGTAGTCTATGTCCTTTCGCGGAGCCATAGTATGCGTTATAGTTGAACAGTAGAGTCCACCAACTAAGCGAGCAAAAGGTATGCAAAATGCAGCCGCCACAAGGACGAGAGAGAAGTCGCGTCTCGGCACTTCGCGCGTCGGACAAGGACCCAAGAACTATTGATCCATGGAACCCTGTCATCTACAGTCGTAATAGCCCAGTCTCTGGGCACTACTCTGCTTTCTGCTTCGACATGGTCGTTCTGCCCACCACACTCCTTTTATTCAGCTGGTACACCGCCGTCAACGCTGGCAGCGCCAGGAAAGGCGAGAGCTGCAGCCAGGCCAACAGCCGTCTCCAAGTCGGCACCTATCAGTTCTACAGCGACTGCGACTCCGTCACGTATTGCTCGAATGCCGGAACCTGCGAGCTGAAGGGATGTCGGAGGGACGAGTTCCCGTACGGGTACGCGCAGGACGACCAGAGTATTCCCGACTTGTGTCCCAGGGGCCAGTTCTGCCCGGACGAAGAGGACGCATGCCAAGACTTGCTACCTGTCGGGAGCCCATGCCAGTTGAATCGGGATGGTACGTCTCTCAAGCTACGAGTCCCGCTTAATCTGCATCTCGAGCTACTTGAAATAGATCAATGCGAAGCGCCTCCTAATTTCGTCGAATTGCGAGACGAGAGCGGGCGTGGCCTTAACCACAATGGCTCCGTGTGCTTGAACAATATTTGCATGTATGTCCCTTATTTCTTGAAGACATCTCAGTCCTCATTGCTCTTCATCAGGTGGGCCAACGTGACCGTTGGACAGCAGTGTGTTGTGGAGAACACCGCGTATATTGCGTACGGTGCCAACGGACAGGAATTCATCGACGTAGTATCTCGGTGGGTTTTCAAAGTCTTCCTCATCTTTCTCCAGAAAACTGAAACATCCCATAGCGGCAATTGCAAGCTTGGCAGCTATTGCGACTCTCAACAGCTTGTCTGCATGCAGACGAAGCAGCTCAACGAGGCTTGCAATGCTGACAAGGAGTAAGTACACCTACACTGATAGCTTCCATGGGCCACGGAGCTTACAACATTTAAGATGCGAATCATACAACTGTCTACCCTCTGGCAAATGTGGTAAGCCGGCGGACGCTTCGCATCACTATGCCATTTGGGTCTATATCATCGTCTGCATATGCATCTTCGGAGGTATGTTGTCCGTTTTATTCACCTATCAGACAGCCTCTCAGCCACGTTACTCAGGTATGATCGGTACCCTCACCGGGTTATTCTTCATGCATGGCAAGCAACGAGAGCAAGAACGAGAGAAGCGTATTCAGTACTGGCGCGAGCAGGTAGGTCTGTTCCCTCTGTGATTTGTTCAGATGACTAAACCGCCGATAGAATGCATTCCGCCAAAATATCATCCAACTGCGCGAGACCACCCGCAACTCCTTCCTTTCGTACCCAAACGAGAGTCCGCGGAATACCGTCTACAGCCGAGACGGCAGCTCGGAAGGGGACTCACAGATGCCCATGCTACACGCAAATAAGCCGGGCAGCAACCTCCGCCACGGCTACTCTGACGACGGGCTTGACGACGACGAAGGGATTTCCATGAAACCTAGAGAGCAGGCCGGGTTCTGAGTTTCTGCGGTTTTTATGACAGTGGACGTTCTTGATCTCTTGGACAGCCTGATAGATACCAGCATACTCTACCCCTCTCCCGAATAACGCAATTTATCTTGTACTAAGCCTGCCTCTACATTAATCGAATACTCAGAGCTCCTACATGCCCGTGCCAGACGGCGAGTCCCAAGAAGGAGATTGCGTAGTTGTACCTAAATTTGGACGTTGTTGGGAGACCTCGCACGGTGAACGCTGCTACTTCGAACGAGCTCATTCCCTCGTTTATGACCGCCGCGCTTCCCCGCAACCGCAAGCTGTAGTCGGGGCACCCATGGGTGGACTAACGATACGAGCAGAAGCGTCTTCCAGCAGCCCTCAGCCTTTGCCTTCACTTCCGCCGTCTCCGACTGAAGAAGACTTGGGCCGACCTGCTACTTGGACTACCGACGAGCCGGGCACGCATAACTTGAACTCGCCTGACAAGGGAAAGTCTCCAACTAGAGGCAAGGACTATGAGGACGGGGACTATGACGTGGTTGAGGAGGGGGAGGAGGAAGCGCAGAATGGTACAGCGGCGTACCCGCCTATGACAGACGAGGAAGCAGAGTCGCGGAGAATAGAAGAGGTAAGTGTTACAAGTCCCATCTACATGTACGGAGCCTAAGTCTGCCATGAAACCAGAACCTTAGACGTTGGGAAATTGCTGAACGGGAGCGTCGGCGAGCTGCGCGTGCCTCAACCCAGGCATCCTCATCGACCGTGGGGGACGTCGTGAAGCGAGCATCCTCCCTCTGGTCCAAACGCTCCAGCAGAGTGCCCAAGGACGGCGCAGGCCGCCACGCCGTCCTCCGGCGGTCGTCCGAGGACGGCGTCGCGCTGAGCGACATCGACGGCAGCCCCGCCATCTCCATCCCCAACTCGCCCAACCCCTCCATCCACGACTTCTCCGCCGAGTCGGAGAACCCCTTCGCCAACCCCCCGCGCCCCCGCATATCTCCGTTCGACGACGCCCACCAGGCCTCGGCCATCATGAGCGAGGCAAATTCAATACCGCCTACTCCTGCTGCTGCGCCGGACGGTGCTGACGGTGCCGATTACACGTCCGGGAGGCTGCATCCGGACCGACGGATTTCATCGGGCAAGCCTCCACCACCGCCAAAACCCCTAGACCTGCCCGAACCTCGAGCACCCCCTCCACGTTCTGGTACTCCCGTCGCCAACCGCCCGCCGGAGCCAATTCCTTCCCCTGTGCCTGTTCCTGTAGAGCAGGAAGAGGACGAGCCTCCTACGCGATGGTGGACAGACTGGCTGTGCGGGTGCCGCGAAGGCGGGGAACACCAGGTGCGTAAATCTAGCTACTCTTCCGCCCATTGCTTCTGAAACGCTATTCCCCCAGGCGGCCAGGACGAACCCCATGGAGTAACACCGTTTCCCCCGATTCTCGATCTCTTTCTTATAATACCTCCTACGGACTTCGATGACGAGACGCCTGTAGCATACACAACTCCAGGCGAACGGGTACCGGCAGCGCCCGACGCACCCGCGGACTATGTCGCCCACGCTCCTTGTAACGTTTCTTACGCATGCTCCCAACCTCGCTTTCTTCTTGCACGGACTCCTCGTCGTGACGCTAGTGTATTCGTCTAAGAACATAGTTGATTATTATCATCACCCTACCCCGCGCGGGTCCCGTTACATGGTTTCTATTCGAGTTCGAGCGGACCGAGAAACCCAAGAAGAAGAAGATGCCGAAAGCATGTAGAACTTTTGGTTCTGTTCTTTCCGTGCGACTGTGAGCCGGAGAGTTGTGTACTGCCGGAGTAGAATTGCGAGACCGCCATCCTAAGCACACACGCAACCCCAGCACCACGTCGCACGGCGCGCACCCCGCGGGGCGCGCCAGCATATGTTATTGGGCGGGAGGGAAGTGGACCGCCCTGACCGGGCTGGTCGGCTCGGTGCTGGGCGTCGCGGCGCCCGACGTGTTGGCGCTGCGGCGCCCGTAGAAGCCCGTGCTGCTCCCGCTCGCATGATCCTGACAGACAAATAATTCCCCCTGTATGAGATCATCACTGTGATGCTACAAGAAGTGCGGAAACGCACCTCGCCGTCGTCCGACAAGCGCCTGGCGCGCCGGGGCTCCCCGAGCACCATAGACGCCACGCCCAGCGTCTCGCCCGCGCGCTCCTCCTGCTCGGCGACGGGCGCGCCGAGCGCCGTCTCCTTGTAGTTACCCGCATCGCCCTGGCTCTGCACCGTCTCGCTGCCGTCCTTGGCCTGCGTACCCACCTCCAGATCAAGCTGGGATTGAGTCTGGGAGTGCGATTGGGATTGGGACTGGGACTGGACGGGCGCGGGCGTGCGGCGCGCCCAGAGGACCCAGTCGGGCGCGCCGTCGGCGTTGCGAGCGGTCCACGTCTGCGAGAGGGACACCGTGCGCGAGTGGACCTTCCTCCCGAAGGAGAAGAACGGGATAGAGAGGCCGTCTATATAGCGGTCAGCAGCGGATTCGTAGGATATCAACAGAGAAGAAAAGGGGAGGGGAGGGGGGACTGACGGATGAGGATGGACCCGAGGACGACGAAGGAGACGATGGTCTGCAGGGTCGCTGCGAGCAACTCCCGCTGGCCCTGCGGCGGGTTCGACGGCTCGGGAAGGCGGGTGAGGGCGAGTGTGGATACGAACACGGCGCCCACGCCCATCTGCAAAGTCGATACTCAGTTCCCATCAGGTCAAGTAAATAACCAACATCCCGCGCTCTCACCGGTCCTACATATGCCAAAACAAGGCGTCAGCACCCACTGCACCCGCGGGCGAGCAATCCAAGCCACGCACCGAAATGCCCCGAAAACAGCGCCTCGCGCCACGTCGTGATCTCCGGTATCCACCGGTACAGCACCAACAAGCACGGGATCCGCCTGAGCGCCAGGATCGCGATGAACAGCAGCACAAGGCGCCCGGGCGTGATTCCCAGCTCCGGACTGTTGAACGCGGTGAACGGCAGCCACGCGCCGACGTAGACGAAGCACGCGCAGTTGAGCACGAGGTCAATGACGGACGAGAAGACCTCGTTCTCGGTCTGCACGTTGAAGTGGCCGTCCCACGAGATCGCGCTGCCGGCGGCGAAGGCGGCGAGGAGGTCGTCGCTGCCCAGGGAGGAGGCGATGCCGATCGTGAGGAAGGCGAGCGCGAGGTATTGGGCGACGTAGGACTCGCGGTCGATAAAGCCCTTGCGGTGGGTGAACTTCATGAGGTGGCAGAAGAGGAGGCCTTTGGGGGGTGGTCAGACAGGCCGGGTCCGCCGGTTTGCGCGGCTCACCTATGACGGCTCCGAGCACTGTGCCCATGATCACTTGATCTGCGACGTTGATTCAGCCTTGGTATGTACGATAAGATTCCGTGATGTGTTAGGGACGTACATAGCCAGCCGACGAGGAACCAGAGCTCGATCGCGTGCCCCTTGGACCGCTCGACGGTGAGGTATATCGAGATGCTCAGGAACGGGTACGCGAGGCCGTCGTTGGCGGCGGACTCGGCGGCGAGGATGCGGCGGAGGTTAGTCGGGACGTGCTTCACGGCGAATTTACCGCCTGGCAGTGAGGGAAAGTGAGATTCCCGGTCCGCACGTAGAACTGAAAGGCGGCGCACCTACGATGGCGGCGGAGATGATGGGGTCGGTGGGGGTCAAGCAGGCGGCGATGGCCAGGGACGAGATGAAGTCCAGCGCCGGGAACAGGCCATGGATGACGGCTGCAATATCAATGCTCAAGTCACTTCCTCGCTCGTCCAGCCAGTCATTTGCTCACCAGCTACCACGATCCACCCGAACGCCATGGTGGGCACGACCATGATCATGAGGCCCTTGGCATGCTTGTACATGTAGGACTGCGGGAGCTCGACGCCGATGGCGAAGAGGCCGGTGGCGAGGACGATGCGCATGACCTCGAGGGTGACCTGGTTGGTGAGGTCCCCCCAGGAGCGCGGGTCGAAGGCGCCGGCGCAGTGCGGGCCCATGAGGACGCCGAAGGCGGTCCCGAGGACGACTTCGTTGATGTAGAGCTGGAGAATGTGAGTGTTGGGGAGATGATGGGGGCAGTGGGCTTACTCGTTCTTTGACGAGGAGGGAGACCATGCTGAACTGTGAGTGCCATGGTCAGTGATGCTTTGCAGGAGAGACGAAATAGCGGCGGGGTTCGAGCGAGGCCTTTTTGCCATAGGATGCTCAGCTGCAGGAGCGATGCAGAAAGCCACAAGTGCGCACCCAAATATTGCCATCGTATGCAAGAACATCAAATGCTTACCGCCACGACGAAACCGCCCAGGACCATGTACGCCAGGCTGGGCGCCGTAACCTGAATAACCGAGTATGTCACATTGTAGACAACAACAGTGAGCTACGGACTTCCAACAGTTCTATAGCCATCGCTGGGCTTTGTAGGCTGGACCGCAAGCTGTTGAACGATAAGGGCGGAGGACGGTTCAGGCACCCTTGCACAGCTTTCCCCGAGAATGCTGACTAATCAGCCAATCCATGAGATCTTCGATCACACTGTGGCTGCTTCCTGTCATACGCTGGTTTACCTTTACGGGACGCGCCCACCATTCCCCGTACTTCCATGCTCTTTTCAACGTTGAGGAAACGCCTCCCGGCGACAGCGCCCAACAGCCTATCCCCCACCGCCTCCCGGCGCACATCCAGCGCGTCCCCCATCCCCGGCGTTGACCCGCACGACAGCCAAACCCTCCTCCTCCCCGACGGCCGCGTCCTGGGCTACGCCGAGTACGGCCTCCCCACCGGCTTCCCTCTCCTCTACTTCCACGGCTTCCCCTCCTCGCGCCTCGAGGCCCGCGCCCTCGACCGCCTCGCCCGTGCCCGCCGCATCCGCGTCATCGCCCCCGAGCGCCCCGGCTTCGGTCTGTCCACCTTCAGGCACAGGCGTATCGCAGACTGGCCCGCCGACATGCGCGCGCTCGCGGACCATCTGCGGCTCGAGCGCTTCGCGGTGCTCGGCGCGTCGGGCGGGGGGCCGTATGCGCTTGCGTGCGCGCTCCAGCTGCCAAGCGAGAGGCTGGCGGCGGTGGGCGTGCTCGCGGGGGCGCCGACGTGGGCCGCGGGGACGAGGGATATCATGCTGATGTCGCGGGTCGCTTCCTTCCTCGCGAGGCGCTGTCCTAACGCGTTCAGAGTGGGCACGGACGCGGCGATGTGCGCGCTCAGGTGGCTTCTGCGTACCCGCCTGGCGGTCCGCCTGATGAACAGCGCCCTGGCGAGAGTCCAGCGGGACGACTCGGACGAGGCGGTCGACGACGTCCGACTGCGCACGCTGCGCATGCTCTTTGAGGCCTTCGCGCAGGGCTCGGCGGCCTTCGTGCACGAGGCGCGGCTGCTCACGGAGGACTGGGGGTTCAGGTTCGAGGACGTCCAGTACGACAGGGTGCAACTCTGGCATGGGACCAAGGACGTCAATGCCCCGATCCGCCATACGCGGTATATGGCTGAGCGCCTACCGCATGGTGTTCTCCATGAGTATGAGGGCGAGACGCATTTCACGATTTTGCATCATCTGGAGGAGATTATGTCAGAACTCCTCCCCCAGCAGACCCCGACAGATGGCGAGGGAGAATTGTAGTGTTGTTTTCGTTTTCCATTCCAAGGTAACTAATGGAGGTAGGTAATTATTTACGGACGCCGGCAGAACTATACCCCTACTCAAACGATATACGTCCCACCCTCTGGACCCCCCATTCATGTGAGACCGTCCATTCTGTACTGATAGCCTTGCTTTCCTTCAAGGCAGGCTTGCCCGTGTATACTATGTAGTAGCACAGTAATCCCCTCTCGTGCCCCTGATTACTTGATTCCCGTGCTCAACCGTGACATGGAGTCGGCGGGACCTCAAGGAAGATTCAATGTATACATGTATCTGTCATATCAATCTTTCCAACCGGCATTGTATGCTGTCAGACGTCTCTACACTCCAGTTACCACAACGCTTCCCTACCGCGAGTCTGAACTTCCGAAGTTCAGCCACAGGACCCACGTCCAGGAACAGCCACAAGCCAATCACACCGCTTATCAATCTTCCTTTTCACACGGCCATCCCCGATTGTCCACCCTCGTCATCGTGACGCGCCCCGAGTTGAAGTTTCAAGGCGATACATCGATATCGTTAACCTCAACGATGCAATCCCCGTCGCGCGTGTCAGGATGGAATCCGCTGGAGGAGGACGACGGCGACGTGATGGAAGTAGAGGAGGACGAGGACGAGATCACGGATGATGCGAGTGACTTCCGGATGCCGACGCGCCTGAAGGACCCGAAGAGGCGCTCGTACACTCTCAGAGAGCTCGTTGGTGAGCATCTCGGTGGGATTACAGCATCCATGGCTGGGGTTGACCATCCTAATATTGTGCAGATATGATGCACAGAGGAAAGATTGACACAGACCCCCCATACCAGAGGAGTAAGTCCACCCACTTAGTACCTGCAAATAGTTAGTGGCTAGTACTACATGCTAAACTCTCCTTTCTGTGCTCTTTAGGTGAAGTATGGCCAGCAGACAGACAGAGAGGCCTGGTTGACACCCTCATGAGGAACTACAACATCCCCCGGATCCTCATCTCTGTGAGGGAGGATGAGAAAAAGGGAGAGATTATGAGGATTCTGGATGGGAAGCAGAGGTTGACTGCTATCAAGGCATTCATGGCTGGGAATGTATGTATGATACGTATCATGCTCTACTGGGCATTCCTCACTCACTTTTGACTTCATTTCTTAGATTGCTTGTAAGCAAAAATTTTCACGGTGCAAAATATCACATGCCAAAATGATGTTTCATGCAGGGAAAGACCCCGTGACAAGCAAGAATTGGTTCTTCACGCTGCCAAAAGGGAGCAACAAGCTGAAAATGCCTGCCCATGTGCAGAGCTTGCTGGAGAATACTGAAATCCCCTGTGGTAAGCCTAGTTATCACAAGTAGAGTTGAGGATCTACTTGACACAGGTCATGACCAGATGAGTACTATGGATTGACTGATGAACAGGAGCATGAGATGTTTCAAAGAGTGCAGCTGGGCATGCAGCTCACCCAAGGAGGTCTGCTCCACCATTCCTCCTCCCTATTACATATATCCTCACCAAACTTCTTTAGAGAAACTCCACGCCATCTCCTCCCTCCGCACAGCCTACATCGCGGAAGTCTACGACCGGCTCGTCGCCGCGCCCGAGATCGACGGGCTCAAAGGCTCACCGCCGCAAGGCGACCGCCTGCGCGCGTACATGGAGTTCGAGACGAAGCGCTCGCAGCCCACGGTCAACCTCTCGCACCTGATGTACATGCTCGAGGGGATCCGGGCGCACGAGCGGTGGCACCCCACGCGGCAGCAGGTCCAGCCGTGGTTGAATGTGGACGAGGACTTTGGTCCGGAGCTGAAGGCGGATTTGGAGGATGCACTGGAGAAGATGAAGGAGATCGGGAAAGACTCGGAGCTTAATGTGGAAGCTGGTTTCACCATGGGGCGGAAGATTGCTCCTGTTGAGTTTATCTTTATTGGTCAGTTGTTATAGTCTCTCGCGAGGTTCCTTGAGTCCTTGTATTGATGCTGCTCACAGCTGTCCTCGTGCACCTCATGCGTCATGCAACGCCGCTTCAGCGCGCTCAGGCAATCAAGGGGCTGCGGCTAATGCTATCGGAAAAGCACACGGGCCAAATCCGCATGAATGCGATGGTCATGCGCAACGCGTGGAACTACATCGAAGATAAACTCAAGGGGACAGACGACGAAACTCGTGTTCCCGCGGCTGAGGTCAAGAAGGGGAAGCAGAAACCGCAGCGCGACAGGCTAGAGCCGACTACGCCTGCACAGACTCCGAATCCGAGTCCTCGGAAGAAGGCAACCACCCGAGAAGACAGCCTGAGTACCTTGGAGGATGAGGCGGCGGAACTGGCGCCGTCAACTTCAAAAGCAGTTGCGCGCACTCCTGTTGCGACTCCGCGGAAGAAGACGCGGACTACTGCCACGCAAGGAGACACTCCGAAGGCCAGTGCAATGAAGCGGGAGCGCGAGGAAGCGGACACTTCGACTTCGCATGACGTTGGCGAAAGCCCAGTGCGGAAGAGGTTGGGCCTCGCAACGCCGAAGCGCGCAAAGCCTGCTTCGACCAACTCTGCATCCTCGCTGAACTCCGATGTACATCCGCGAGATGTTAAGCCGCTGTCCAAGGTGCCAGGGAGTGCTGCCAAGCCTCTCAGTGGTCCGCTCAAAAAGCGCATGCGGATATTGGATAGCGATTCCGATGAGTAGGGTATCTTCAAAGCCACGCACCTAGAAGTATAGCTTCGTGCAGCAGTTGATTATTTCGATAATGTATGCACTATATATTCTCTGTTGCTACAACATTGTATATTGTTCCTATATTTTATTCCTAGCAGTGTACCACATGCCCTCTGCATCCTTGGTAGCTCGAGCGTATTTGAGAAGCAATTTGTCTCGCTCTTTTGAGTCCACTGCAACATCAGCCAGGTACGGGGCAATGTCCTCCGCCTTCCACTTCGGCCGTGTAAGGAAAAGATCGGTGAAACGAGCGGCGGGATCGGTGGGCAGAGAAGATGACGGGAAGTAAGTTAGGGCTAGGACCGCTGGGAACGTGTCCCGCGACATAGACGACAGGTAATTTCCCTAAAAGTGATTGCAAGGTATCAGTAAACAGAATGCGATGTCCTCGCACTCGTGCATACCTCGAGTAGTTTGAGAGATATGTAAGACTCGAAGGTATCACCCACAGCACTCTTCCATTTCTCCAGGAATTCCTGTTCCGCGATGGGTGCATCCTTGGAGAACCAGAGTTAACATTGTCCCCCCGGTAGATGAATAATGAAGCTGAAACGTACCTTGTGGGGTCTCAGGATGCCGAGGCCGATCTGCTTGATCACTTCCTCCGCGTTCATTTCCCACTTGCCGTCCTTGACCGTGCCGAACCACAATAGCACCTGGGTCGTAACTTGCCGATCGACTTCATGCTCGTCTTTCATAGCGGCTGACAGCTCGTCAACGGGGACAGCGTCGTGATGCAGTGAGTGAGAGACAAGGTGGTTCAGTATGAGCTCCAAGATCGTGTTGAGATACGAAGGAGCGATCGGGCGAAGACGGCCTAAATGTGCGCCAACGTCAGTATACGATGATTACAGTTGGGATAGAGTTTCTTACCGCCGATATCGAGGATCCGCATATCCCGAAGACCGCGTCGTAGTTCGCCCTCGCTAGCCTGGAGGTGCATGGCGTCGGCATAACTGAACTTGCGTCGGCCCTATTTTTTGCAGAGTACTCAGCGTTACGAAGGATTATATACGGATTCTTCCTACAGTGCCAGTCTGCGTGTTGTCGAATTCTTCGTCTTCGTCCATCATTTCTTCGTCCTCGTAGCCTTCATCGTATTCCAGTCCCCTCAGAATCCCTTTCAGTTTATGAAGCTTGGGTAGTGAGGGTACAAGCTCAATGATATCGTGCAGTTCGTCTTGAATAACCACTTTGTCCCCCATTCCCTCCCCGGCTTCGGGTGCAGGAGTGAGGACCAGGACTGAGTTCGAGAGAACTACGGATCGCATGGTGTACGTTTTCTCATCCGTGCAAAGGACCGCATCTTCCTCTGCTCCGCCTTTTACGCTAAGGTTCAGGCTGTTGGTACGCGTCGATAAGTCAGTTCTCTTCTGGTGGCCTCAGGAAAGAATACGATGTAACCTTGCATTGCCTTCGATGTAGGCTTCTACTAGCTTCAGTAGGTCTGGTGGTAGCTCGAGAAGTTTGAAAGTTCCAGCGTCCGCCGTAGTCCATGGAAATACTACTTCTGTCTCGTCCATGGCGGCTAATGCCAACGGGTGCTGGAACGCGTTAATTAAAGCGCGTCGGGTCACGCGGATGTGACGTGCTCGTCACACCTTACAATCACCTGACCTTCCCAAAGAACAAGGCTTATAAGAGTGGACGATCGAGCAGCGCGTCCACGCTTATAAGACTCAAAAGACGTTTCTCCTAACTCCGGCGGAAGCACCGGGAACACCGCCAGCCTTGTAGGGTAGTAGAGTACGGAGCCTCCAGAAGACTCCGGCGGTAGCACTGGCCCCAGCCGTAGCGTCGCGTGGACCGACGTACCAAAATAGACAGCTGCCAAAAGGGGACTGATGGCGCCCACCGACACGATGACATCACAGTGCCGCCGTGCCCGACGCTGGTTGTCGCTGTTCCCGACGACGTCGGCAATAGGTAGTGTGTAGCACCTCGAATAAAATCGTATAAAATTCAGTGAATTGCCATTATATTCTACATCGCCGATGATGTATAGTTGTAATACATATAAGGGACCAATATGGTCCATTCCCTTGATATCTATGTATGTCTGGGGCATACAAGCTGAACAAAACGAAATTTCCGATTTAGTGGTGCTCCTGAGGGACAATAAAGCTTTAATATCAGTTTTATATACATATTTCGACGAGGAATAGGACTATAGGAGGGTGGGGGCTAAGGGGGGATTTGTGGGCATAAGAGGAACTCACTGGACAAAGGGACCTCAACAGACAGGCGGGGAGCGGCGGGGACGGCGCACTATGCCACCTGCAGCATAAGATACATTTTTAGAGGAGGTATAGGACGTACCTGGGCCCCGGTAATACGTTGATAGCACCTAAGGCAGCAGTGAAGCTAGAGAGAGACAGATCTACCAAAGAACAATGGTAGGTCCTGACTCTTCAACACTCTGTACCCACAGTTTACAAAGGCTGATAGAGTGTACTGAGCACTTACAATGGCAGATATCCACCCATAAAGCGAGCAGAAAAGGGAGTCCACCTAGGGTAATCACCCGGAAGGAATGAGCTGCACAAGACTACTACAGTGATTCCACCGGTCCTAAGGGCAATTAAAAGTTTCATTAGTACCTATCTACTCGTTTGATAGCAACCAAATAGTCAGATAAATATGTAATTGGATGAAAATGCGAGGAACATACCTTTCCTGTTTTGCGAGTTACCTGATGTACCCAGTGTATAACGTAGGGAATCTACCTCGTCTAG